CAATAACTCTGTCAATAATTACACAGCTCGAATCACCACAAGATTAAAAACAAAAAAAAATTACACTTAAACCTAAATTTATCTTATAGTAGTAAAAAAATTCTAAAAGCCGTTGTGGGGGCTACTGGCTTATTAACAATTTTTTTTGTAAGAATGAAGAATGAGATTAATTTTGCATCCTAAGAAACATTCGACAATAGTTCGACATAAAAATTGTATTTATGTCTCTGCCTAACTAAACTAAACTTTTTTACAAAAAAAAAAAAAAAAAAAAAAAAAAAAAAAAAAAAAAACTAAACTATTTAGTTATGGCCGATTTAAAGATAGAGAAACTATCATGTGATGTACATGACTACCGTACGTGATACGATTTGACATTTCACTTTCGTAATCAATACTCGTCGTACTGTTTATTCAACATTCAACATTAAACTTAAAAAATCTTTGTTCTTTGAATTAAATTGGTAACTAATAGCTAACAAATTTGAATGTAAATATGTAACCCGTGATCACATGCACAACTAACAAAAACGGAAAGAACTATTTTGGTTAGGTAAAGCTAATCAATAGGATTAGTTGTCAAAGACATGGCTCTTGTGTAGTACTATTTGTTAAGTAACCCACATATATGATCATATATAGCTTCATAATAAAGAACATCTGCTACAAAATAAAACTACTGGCCAAAAACATGGCTCTATAAATAGTTGTTTTTCCTTTTTTTGGTTAGGTGAAGATGGAGATTAAATTGATACACTTTGAATCCATGAAGTCTTGATCCAACGGCTATCAGTCTTCCTTCTTCAACCGTTTCATATCGCCATTAATGACATATTGACAAGCTGTACATATACACACCTCCCTTTATCTTTATAGTATTGTTTTTATATGATGACACTACAGTATGCAATTATATTTTTTTACAACTGGTCCCAAGTCAAAACAGAACCGTGGGACATGAAATGAGTTAAGAATATTTACTATCATCACCATTTTACAACGGTGAAATCTTTCTTTCTGAGCCTTGATTTTTCTGATTTAAAAAACAAAATCGTATTTTGACAGTGATTGTAATAAACAGTGAAGTTCATTGACTTCATCTGCAACAAATAATTCTGTTACAACTAACAATAAGTCTAATATCATTCTGTACCAATAAGTCTAATATGAGAAAAAGAAAACGATAAGTTACTGCTAGTGAGTAAGAAATTATTAGGTGTGACTATTTATAGCTGATTGGGGAACAATTGATAAGTAAGATTATGGACTTGTCTCTTTCATTTGCTATTTTCGACAACAATAGGACACAGCCAAAATAAAATCTTCGGTTTCAATGTAGAGACCACACCAAGATCTATTTATTTACTTGCTGTCTTTTACTAATAGTTTTTTACAGAATGTTGTCTAACCAAAATTCGATGTATTTCTGTATAATAAGTAATCCGTATAGATGAATACATATAGTGTAACAATATATAGAGACACATGTGGGTGTATTTAATATAGTGGCTACGTTAGATCGTAAGTGTTATTTATAGTTGAAGAATCACACAAAACAAGACCATTCATGAAAAGCCACATAAGAAGTTGAAGCAAAAACATAAACAAAAAAAAAACAAAAAAAGAAACGTAAAAAAAGGCTCTCTGTTTTGGTTTCTGCAGTCTCCAATGGCTCTCAAGCTCTTTCTCTTTGCTCTTCTCCTCTGTCTTCCGACTTCTCTCTCCTCCTCTGCTTCTAAAGGTCACCTCTCTCTCTCTCTCTCTTAAACACAACTCTCTTTACCAAGTTTCACTTGTGTTTTGCAGTCAATTCTTGTTTTCTCTCTCTCTCTCTCTTGGTCCTTGATGATTATGTGTAGTTGTTGATCTTTTTTTCGAAACATGTTCGGTTTCACAAGCAGTTTATGTCCGAACTTGTACACAACATAGATACATATATACATATAAGCTTCTTCTTCTGAAACTATAGTTTCTTGATGATCATCATGACCGAATCTTGATTGATCCAGACACTAACAGTACAGTCTCTTTACTCTTAACTGTTGTAGTTTTTTTATGGTTATGTTCTGCTAAAAACATTAATGGTGTAATTACTTCTACCAACTAACCGTGTAAATTGTTTAAGTCTTTTTTAAATAACTTTTTTTTTCGGTTTGTAGGTAAAGAGCAGAAGTTGAAGTTTAATCCATATAGGTACACATTCATCGATAAAGCCAGCTCATTCGCATCATCTTCCTCATCTTCTTTCTCATCCAACGGTCGAGATTTTTCCTACGACTACATAGTCATCGGAGGTGGAACCGCAGGCTGTCCTCTAGCCGCAACGCTGTCGCGGAATTTCAGCGTTCTTGTCTTGGAGAGAGGTGGCGTCCCGTTTACAAACGCAAACGTCTCTTTCCTCAGGAATTTCCACATCGGACTCGCTGACACGTCACCTTCCTCCGCGTCACAGGCGTTTGTTTCCACTGACGGCGTTTACAACGCTCGTGCTAGAGTTCTTGGCGGCGGCTCTTGTATTAACGCCGGTTTTTACTCCCGAGCCGATGCTGAGTAAGTAATTTACTCAAAACTTTTTAAAGAAAAATAAAAAAACAAGATTGTCAATATTAAAATAGATCTTATAGTAAGAAAATCATACTAATTGATATAATCGATGCCTCGTGTCGTAATAGTTACATTTATGAGAAAACGCACCGATCGAGAATGTTGTGTGATCGTTACTCGTTTTCTTGAATAACAATAACGTCTTTTTAATATTTCACACATATCAACAAATATATTTGTTTAGCTCAATTTGTTTTTCTTCAGTAAAATATGCAAGGTTTTTATTGAACTGTTATTTTCGATTGGTTTAGGTTTGTGAAGCGAGCAGGATGGGATCCGAAGCTAGTGAACGAGTCGTATCCATGGGTGGAGCGAGAAATCGTTCATCAGCCGAAGTTGACGTTATGGCAGAAAGCTCTGAGAGACAGTCTTTTGGAAGTTGGAGTCAGACCGTTCAATGGCTACACTTACGATCACGTCTACGGAACCAAAGTCGGCGGCACAATCTTCGACAGATTCGGACGTCGTCACACCGCGGCGGAGCTTCTTGCTTACGCAAACCCTCAGAAGCTCAGAGTCTTGATTTACGCCACCGTGCAAAAGATCGTCTTTGACACATCAGGTAGTGATGATTTTTCATTTGTGGTTTGCGTGCCTTCCAAGTAAAGAAACTCTTGTTTTGTTTTTTTTAGAAGCTGAATTAGGTTTTGTTTTTGGTTGTGGTTGTAGGAACAAGACCTAGAGTAACAGGAGTGATATTCAAAGACGAGAAAGGTAATCAACACCAGGCTTTACTCTCGAATAGGAAAGGAAGTGAAGTGATCTTGTCTAGTGGAGCGATTGGGTCACCACAGATGCTGATGTTAAGTGGCATTGGACCTAAGAGAGAGCTTCAGAGACTGAAGATTCCTGTGGTTTTAGAGAATGAGCATGTAGGGAAAGGAATGGCTGATAATCCGATGAACACCATCTTGGTGCCTTCGAAGCAGCCTATAGAGCAGTCACTTATTCAAACCGTTGGAATCACAAAGATGGGTGTGTATGTTGAAGCCAGCACTGGCTTTGGTCAATCTCCTGAGAGCATTCATACTCATTATGGGGTTATGTCGAACAAGGTAACATAACTTCGATCTTGCTTTGTTAGTGTCTTTGTAGGAGAATGTTTTGATGAATGTTTTGGTTTTTGTTTTGTAGAATGAATTGTATTCCACCATTCCTCCAAAACAGAGAAGACCACAAGCTTACGTCGCAAGAAACAAATACCAACTTCGTGAAGCATTCAATGGAAGTTTCATCTTGGAGAAACTAGCTTACCCGATCTCTAGAGGGCATTTGAGCTTGGTTAACACAAACGTAGATGACAATCCTTCGGTTACTTTCAACTACTTCAGCCACCCGGTGGATCTTCAACGTTGTGTTGAAGCCATTCGTTTGGTTTCAAAAGTGGTGACGTCTAACCGCTTCCTAAACTACACGCAGTGCGACAAACAAAACGTTCACAAGATGCTTAGCTTAAGCGTCAAGGCAAACATAAACTTAAGACCAAAGCAACTCAACGATACCAAATCAATGGCTCAGTTCTGCAAAGACACTGTTGTCACAATCTGGCACTATCATGGCGGTTGTCTTGTGGGCAAAGTTGTGAGGCCTAACCGCAAAGTTATTGGTGTCAATAGGCTCAGAGTTATTGATGGTTCGACATTTAGCGAATCTCCGGGAACCAACCCTCAAGCCACGGTCATGATGATGGGAAGGTAAATGGAAATCAATACCAACATAACGATTCGTAGCTTCCTTTAAATTCAATACATAAATTAAACAGAGGTTTTATCTTTGCAGATACATGGGAGTGAAGATTCTTCGAGAGAGACTTGGAAACAAGGCAGGTGTTTAGTTTACAAGTTGAGATATTATCGTAGACCGCAAGCATAACTTGTACTAGGTAAAGGTAAAACGAATTCGTAGCAGATGATTCTGTTTGTGGAATTGTGATGGATCTCTCTCTCTCTCTGTGGTTGTTTTGGTATTCGATTCATTGAAATATAGTATCAGATTGTCTAATGAACTGTGTAACCCTCTATTTTGGGCAATTGGCTTTGTTTTCTTGCGTGAAAAGTTATCTTGATTCCTGTCTTAATAATATCTTGCTATTCTTGCGTGGCCCTGGTTTTGTGTTCAGATTCACCTAAACAATCTCTCAGTCTAAAGAACAAAATTTTTGTGAACAAACAAGTAAACAAGATTGCTTGAGAAGATAAATCTTGGTAATCAAGAAAACCTGAACTAGATTAGGGTTCATAAAAGCACAAGACTGAAAACCTAAAATGGATTTTGTAACCTTTGTACATTCTGAAAAGATACTATAATATGATGAATTACCATTCACTATAGCAAATCTAAGAAGAAAGAAAAACGAAAACCTAAACCTGAATCTTTACTATTCCGTGACAAATCTTTTAAATCTGCGACGGCATGAGTATGTGGCTCAAGAGATTGGGCTGCTCCGGATCAGAGATACCTTCTTTCTCAAGCTTCACCTTGTTGGTTTGTTCAGCCTTCTCCAAAAACATATCGTAATTCAACAGACTCTGTTGCGGCATCATCTCTTGAAGTTGTTGTTGCTCGTTCTGATGATTAAAACCATTGACGTTAACGTATTCTTGATCTTCTTGCTCCAGTAGATCTCCGTAAGAGTAAGATCCGAATGAAAGATCTTGCCTCTGCCTTTGCTGTTGATGAGCTAGAGACCGATACCGATACATAGAGAGTTGCTGATGAACAAAGTTAAGCTCAGCTTGACAACAATTGATCTTGCTCTTAAGATCACACATAATCTTGTACATCCCACCAACTGGATCTAGGGCACGAGCATTAGCGTGGAAGATAAGGTTCTGCATTGCGATGTTGCGTTGAGACTCTTCGACTTCTTTGATCATCTTTGTGATGTTGCTCACTCCAAACAGTTTATGAGCGTTGAGGAACTGCTTTTGGCGTTCTTGCGGGAAGTAAGGAGCGAGGAGGCAGTTTTTTGTGCATTTTTTTCGTTGGTATTTGCAGGCAGCGCAAGCCGTGGCGGAGGAAGCGGAGGAGCCGCCGTGGATTTTGCTTGAGGACATTAGGGATTGTGTTTTGGGGGAGATATAGTGGTTAGGGTTCCGAAGAGAGTTCCTTGATTTTCTCCTTGAGAGAAGGAGAGAAAGAGAGGATCGAGGAGAGAAGTTATGTGAGAGGAGGTGGTGGTGGATAGAGAAGTTTTCGGAGACAGTTGTTGAAAGAGAGTTTATGAAGAATAATAAATATTTTGTTTGTTAAAAAGATAACTAACAATAGCTGATTTCTGATTTGTTCTGAACTGGAAAAAATATATTAAACGTGTATTAAGATATTATCTGTTGGGAATTTTAATTTGATCAGAACTTATTTTTAGATTTTTTAGTTATTCTGTTTTCTACTTTTTTAGTTGGACTTTTCTGTTTTAAATAAACAAAAAGAGCCTTTATGTATTTACCAAATCTTTAATATTAATTTGTCGATAACATCTAATATTTGTAGTATTTATCTAACCATATATGTATGTATAAATTAGTTATTTATATATCGGTTGCATTTTCAGGTTTATTGTGTGTGTAGTAAAATTGCTACCGTTAAGGAGATTAGACTGTCAATTTTTTTTCTTCTGTGGGTTAAAATTGCTAAAACGTTAACATACCAAACGCAGCTGCTGCACAAGTGAAAGATCTACAACTGATTAACTTTTGAACCGCATGTGAAGTCTTCCTGATCCACTGCCTCCAGCCAAAGGTCGACACGTGGAGATTCCAGCTCGAAAATTACCTGCAGAAGTGATAAAAAGATGCAATGAGGAATGTATATATAGTGAGTGAGTCTTTGATTACAAAAAAAAATAAGAAAATGGTTACATTCCTCCTATGTTCTAACTCCTAACTAACAAAATGGTCAGATGTCATGTTCTTATTGACATACCACATAATTTTGGCCAGGCTTGAGGAGTGGTGCAGGAACGTAGAGGTTGCATTGTGGTCCAACAGACTGCAAAAAAAGGAAACTTGTTTTGTGTAAGAAAAACTCTAAGATACTCTCTAAAACTGGATGAGCTTAAGGATAGAGCTTTTTACCGGCCAATATCTTCCGATGTTGAAGTTATTGACAAAAGCAACTCCTTTACCCCAACCCCTGAATGATAGATATGTGTCTTTGATTTCTTCTACACTGTTGATAGAGAACTCACCAGCAAACAAAGCTGGTTCCTTTTGACTAACATCTATAGTAAGGAGGAATTAGTTTCATTCCATTATCCATCACAAACATTCTTTAACTAACCAAGGATGTGCTGAAAACAAAAACAGAGCACTGACCATTAGTAAGCTCGAGCTTCTCACTTCTCTTTTTCGTTTGTTGCATCTCGAAACTGAGATTTGGATTTTGATTCAACTTGTGAAATGGAATAGGTATCATCCTCCATCCATGGAGAATTTGACCATCTAGAGAAACCGAGGACAGAATACCCTATACAGCCAAGAATAACAAACAGCAAACAGAGCTTTTGAACAAGCTTTTGAAAACTGAAACATCACAATCTTTGAGAGAGACTTGAGAATAAGAAATATCTGATAAATATGTCTTACCTTCTCATCGAAGAGATATGTCCCATAATTCACTCGACCCATGTTTTCAACCTATTAAGAAACAGAATCTCATATTACTTGGAAAAATGAGTGACATACACAAATGAACAAGTACTTGCTTAATAACTTCAATTAGCAACAGAAGTTTTCTGAGGATTTTCTCACCAGGATAAATAAGCTGGTGTTAGAGGTACACTCATTTGTTGGAATAGAAACAGGTTGGTTGTTCCATCTCCCAACTGTACCAACGTATCTCAGCATTCCTGCATTAACATCTTGTGAAATGCATGAAATAAACACTTGAGCCCTGTCATGAACCTGCACTCTTCATCATGTTAGAAGATTACACTTTCAAATTGGATTTAGATGAAAAGTGAATACAAGGGCTATTAATACCTTTGGTATTCTGAGTATATTCCCACTTTCTTTTGCGGTGTACGAAGATTCATATAGAAGAAATCCAAACATCTGAGAGATCAAGAAATTAAAGAATCAAAATGCATAACAACAGTTTATTAGACCATATCTGCGGAAATGTTTTAGAATCACATACCTGCCCTGCAGATTCCATTGAAATTGGGTTTGGAGAATATGTCACATCTGCAGGATCTATCATACTAAGTAAATCAAACATAGATGTTGTCATCTGCATTTTGATAGGGCCATACGCTTTCCGTTGATTATTAGATGGGCTTATGGAGTATGGTGCTCCATTGTACTTCTTGATCACTTTCTGGAGAGCTACAAATAGCAAATTGTTTAACAAAAAAGAGAGAAAAAAGAAGATGACCTTAAATTCACAAAAGATCAAACCTTGAAATTTTGGATTATCTATGTCACCAGACTCCTTGATGGGAGCATCCTGAAAATGAACAAGATATATTGTGAAACTTATGAATAGAAACTAAGGATTTTAAAATGCCAGGTAATTATGTTACACTGCCGTACATAATCATAGGATGTCAAATCTGGTTTGTAGTCAAATTCTTGAGAGCCAGTATTTGCTCCATTGTAGAAACCAAAGTTTGTTCCTCCATGCACCATCTAAACATCCCATACATAATACACGAGACTTAAATTTATCCGTTAAATCATTATCGAAAAACTGATATTTTAAAGCATAACATACATATAGCACAGCAGAACCATTTCGAGACAATATTTTTTCAAGAGAAGATGCTGTGAATTCAGCATCTGTTTTTGAAATCTTCTCACCCCAATGCGTAAGCCAACCAGTGTAGAACTCTCTGTAGTATCATACAACTCAAAATGAGAAATTGAATTCATTGTAGAGATAGTTAGGGCCAAAAAGATACGTACGAGGAAAGTGGAGGTGATCTTCCTGGCGCATTAAACTTCTTTTGCAGTTCAAATATTGGCCAAGGGTCATCACCCGTACTGAAGTCAACAGCTATCAGAAAGATGAAGTTTCTTGTCACTTTCCATCACATATATTAACTATATAGACATTTCAACATATATTAAAGTTTTTATCAGGAAGAAAAGATTGAAATTCAATTACCTGAGTAGATATCAGATAAGGGGAGAGTTCCTTTCTCAAGAGTTTCTCTTGTACCTCCATCTGTTGTATACCTGAAGATCACTAACAGCATTTACACACTCTATATTCAGTTATTCACATGACCAATTGTCATATTGTTGAAGATGCACAGAGTCTTACAAAATAATGTAATCCCCCAGGTGTTCCCTAGCCATTGTAACTAGATTACGAAGATAAACTTTGTCATTTCCATATGAACCATATTCATTTTCAATCTGCAAGAAAATAACCTACATTTAGTAAACATGCCAACATAAAAGATCTAGGACACAGATTCAGCCTCTAGCTTCAAAATTCGTCAACCATAGTTTTCTGGACGACACATCCTATCAACTGTAACTATCCAGCAATCACTAGAATAGAATAAATGACATAGTGGAATATTTGCTTTCTTGTATGTACCTGAACCATTATAACAGGACCTCCGTTTCTGTAAAGCAGAGGAAATACCTTTGGAAATAAAACATCCCACCATCTTTTAACCTGTAATATGGTTTGTTATGAATAACTCTTACTTTCAAATACAAGGCACAAGAACAGTCTTAGAATGCGGTGAAGGATCGAGTTAAGGTAAATGAAAACTTACCAACTTAAGGTAAGCAGGATCTGATGTCCTTAGTTTGAGAGGTGGTTTCACGGCAAGTAACCAAGCTGGAAAACCACCCAAATCCCATTCTGTGATGGTGACAGCAAGACAGGAACATATATGAGCACTTGGTTGTTTCTGTGTTGAAACATTTGTATCAACTCATAAGGATCATAACGTACATATATGAACACAAACCTCCACAGATATAAGGTCCAGCACGCAGCATAACCAAGAAATCTAGTTTCTGACACAGCTTGATGAAGGACACAACATCAGCAATACCCTCAAAGACCATTTCCCCAGGCTTTGGTTCGTGCAGATTCCAAGGAACATACATTTGTATAGTATTCAGACCTAAAGCCTTAGCTCTTAAAAGCCTATCTTCCCAGTACTGTACCCATAATCTGGCATTAATTACTCAATCAAGTATATCTTATAATACTTAACTACATAAGAACACGATTATACAGAGAGAGAGAGAGAGAGGACAATAATACCTCAGGAAGAACGCGGAAGTAGTGCAAATCGCCACCAATGATCTGAAAAGGATTCTCATCTTTCCAGAACATGTCATCTTTTATATAAAAATTCTGCAAATGTTGAAACGAAAGTTGAAGACTTGTACATGAAAATGAAAACCTTTATAACAAAATTGCTTGGTAACTGAAACTATGCATATATTCCAGCGGTGGGAAGTAACCAAAATTCGATATTTTGTCTCATTTCTATAAGATCGGAAGAAACGGAGCACGCAATGAAATTTACCATCCGTCGCTTCGACATTGGTTTCGGTTTCGAATTTGAACCAAGCAGAATCGCACAGCCAAAGAGAAGATATTAGTAGAATCATGCTTACCTTCTCGTCGCGAGGAAAAGCAAGTGGCAGAAACTGAGGAGAGGACAGAGAAGGAAGAAGACCGAAGACAGGAACAGCTACAAGAATCAGGAGGAAGAAGAAAGTCAAATGATGTCTTCCCGTTGATGACCTGCTTGTCGTCGCCATTGTCCAGGTTGCGCCGGCTCGCCGAGCACTCTCTGCTTCGTTCTGAAGATTTCGGTGCCGGAAAAATGAATGCGGTTAAAGCCGGTTTAACCAAATTCAACCACTCCTAACCCGGAAAAAACTAGAGTTTGACCCGCGCCCTGCACGGGGAGATGGTTTCTGAATTTGTATTTTTTAATTAAAAATGTATATTTAACTATTTCAAAATTTTATGTGACAGATTTTTTTACCTTGTTAAGGTTTTTATCTTCGTTTATAATGTGGAAATTAAACATTTTTTAAAAATTATAAACATTGATCATAGACATAGATTAAATATGCTAGACTATAGATTAAATATGCTAGACTTCAGCAAGATACATAAAAATCAAATGAGTATATTTTATAAGATAAGAAGATAAAAAGTTTTAGGTGTTTACACGGATTAGAACTAACTTTTTTTATTTCTTTTAAAACTAAAACATGTTTTATTATAATTCCAAAACAATCCAACCAATAAAAGATAATCTTGCAAAATCCAAATTGTCAAAATAACAAAAGTATAAGTAATTTTGTACTGAAAAATTGAAACAAATGGAGCAATATTCAAATTTTTGATCAAAATTAAATACATTTATAAAAATATTATTTTATTTGATTTCATTATACAGTTTAACTAAAAAATCATATAAAATATTAAAAATAAAAAATTATATTTAGATACCTACTCTCCTACTTACATGGTTGCATATCATCTATTTTTTATAATATATTTTTATACCTACACACAACAACATATTGGGAATTTTAATAGTTTTAGTGATTATTTTGTTTTTAAAAATTCAAATCATAGCATATATAGAAAAAAATTTAGATTTTTTTATTAGATTTTTTGTATTGTGTCAATTTTTTATTTTATAAAATAAAGTTAAACAAAGATGAAAGGAGATATAGAATGATTTAAAAAAATAATAATGATAGCATTAAATTGAATCTCATATTTTCCTTATTTACTAATTTTCGTAATTGTCAATTAAGGAAAGAGAATGATGATTTTTTATTAATAATTTCATATATGATTAATCTAACTATACATATTTGATTCTCTAACCAAAAATATGAATGGCAATGTTTGTAATTAGTCTAGTAAACTAATCCTTATTTTATAAATAACATGAGAAGCTCTCTAATGATGACACATCAGCATGACATTCTTGTTAATAACACATCAACTAAAGGTTATTTTTAAAGTGTTTTCTCTTTTAATATATTAGGGATTGACTCTGCTACACTTAACACAACAAAGGTTCTCACTTCTCAGTTCTCACAGCGGTTGAAGTATACCGATCGATTTCCTAACTTGATGTTCTTTAAAGAGCTAAATTTGAAAACGACAAGCTATCAAAAATTATAACAGAAGGTCGCTGTTTGATATTCGGCAATGGAACTTCTAAAATGGTTGACGAAGCCATCACACTAAAATTTTGGATTTTTTTTTGAAGAGAAAATTCTAAGCCGCGATGGCCGTAAGACTAAATGGCAACATAAACAGAATCAGTTGACAGATAATTCTCTCTCACGTGCACATCACGTGTCAATGAGAAGATGGATTAAGTCAAAATCAAAATGCAACACAACGACATGCTAAAAGTATCAAAGGAGGTCATTGTGTTTGTCACTTTGTTGTATCTTAGTCATGGGATCAACTCAAACTTTTTGTTTCGTTCGTTGTACTTAGAAATGAATACTGTAGAGTTGTAAACAAAATTAAAAAAAAAAAAACTTGTATTATGTTGTTTAGTAAGCAATAATGTTGATTTTCACCGACTGGACAATATTTTTTTTTATGGAATGGTTGGAGATTAATTTAGTCAATTTATACACATAATTTGTGGCATGAAATTATGGAAATTTATGGTGGATTCATAGAAATATTTTTCAAAAAAAAAACTGGTATTACAGATTTACAGGCACTGCCTATAAGCTTATATAATATCTTTCTTGTTTCATCACCACCATTATTTAATTTTGGTAATATGTGTGTTTGAGTGGTGGTTACAACTTACAAAAATAAGAATTTTGCTCGCTGAAATTATTTAGACATCATAAACCATAGTTTCAGTATTTAAAATTATAAGGATTACATTTTCAACATATATATATATATATATATATATATATATATATTCAATGAAAACAAAGTTTTTATTCATTCAACAATACAGCATTTGATTAGTAATGCTGTCAACAGCGCAGATTTTGATTTTTGTTAAATATAATGAGCAACTTGCATAACCATTCACAGAAAAATCTAAAGATAAATCACATTCTGAACATTAAGAAGTTACCGACTACTCACTAGATTTTTCAAAAATAGTATATCCAATTACAAATCAGATACAACACTTCATCCACTATATATACATTAACCCTAATTGAGGCATTGATCTTTCTTCTACGTCTTGCATATATCCTATTAAATTAACAAGTTTATAATCCCTTAAATGCATCATTTTGTATTTTACCCCAAAGATCTTATATTATGTAGCTCCTGAAGGATCCAATAAGTCATATAATAATGAGATGATGTCACGTTCACACTTCACACCAATTTTATAAGAAAGCCAAATTCCAAAAGTAATTTAGTGCAACCCAACTCCATTAGTGAAAACTCAAAACACATATCAAATGTCTCACATATCCATTATAAATATTTGTTTTCTTGGGTCAAAAGCATATTATATATCTATAAATACGTATGCCAAGAGAATCAGTCCTAGCTTCATTGACAAATTTTTCATCTAAAAAAAGTACAGCCAAAACCATGAACACGAAACTTGCTCCAATCCATGCGCCATCATCGTCAACATCATCATCAACACCATACGGACTAACCAAGGACGAGTATTCAACTTTAGATCACATCATCCGAACACACCACACGTTCCCAAGATCGCCAAACACGTGCACATCCCTCATAGCACACCGCGTAGACGCACCGGCACGTGCCATATGGAGATTCGTACGAGACTTTGCGAATCCAAACAAATACAAACACTTCATCAGGAGCTGCACCATCAGAGGTAATGGCAGCGTCAAAGAAATCAGCGTCGGGACCATTAGGGAAGTCAGCGTTGTGTCTGGTCTTCCAGCGTCAACGAGCGTTGAGATTCTCGAAGCGCTAGACGAAGAGAAACGGATCCTGAGTTTTCGAGTTCTTGGAGGAGAACACCGGTTAAACAATTACCGGTCGGTTACATCGGTCAACGAGTTCGTCGTCACGGAGAAGGACAAGAAGAGAGTGTACAGTGTGGTGTTGGAGTCTTACATTGTTGATATACCAAAAGGTAACACAGAAGAAGATACGAGGATGTTTGTGGATACTGTTGTTAAATCGAATTTACAGAATCTTGCCGTCGTTTCCACGGCTTCTCCGACTTGAGAGTTTTTGGGTTTTGAAATGTCTTGCGTTGTGTACTTGTGTGTATATAAGTCTTAATGGACCGTAAATGGGCCTGTTTGGTGTATGTGAATGTGTGGACTGTGAGTCTGTGAAGTGTGTAGATATGAACAATATGGCCCGTAATGGGCTACTAATCCTCATGAGGAAAGCCCTATAATCAAATCCTTTGATTTAAAAGCACTGAAGTTATCTGATTACCACCATTTTTGTTCTATAAATTCGTGCTTCTTTAGCTAATCTTGTAAATTTACTTAGATGGATGTGTTGTTGATGTCTATACAGTACTTTTACAATACGAGTTCGGTTTAAATAGAAAGTGAAAATGAGATGAAGAAAAAGTAAATTAAAAATTTGAAGAACATAATCAATACTTTGTGTAAAGTCATATTCAACATACACAAAGAAACTTCTTTTTTTTTTTTTTTTTTCTGACAGGGGCACAGAAACTTGGTGGCATTTGTCGGAAAATTCCTTGAAACCATGAAGAAGACGAATACACGTATCATTATGGCAACAGCATGCAAGAAGAATATTCGTGTCACATGATTCGAACAATGATTCTGTACTTGGAAATATGAGACCGCATGGCTTACGTGGATACTAGTGTACGAAAACATGTGCTGTTGAATAACAAAACAGTGGAGTATTAGACGATATCAAAAACAAAACAAACTACACAATAGCGTTTTTGCGTTACCAATTAACAATCATCTCGATACAAAATATCTTAAAGTAATTAGCCTTAATTTAGTTATAACATAAATTTCTGCGGTCAAACAGAAAATATATCACTCAAGGAAGTACATATATACTACATAATTGAAAAAAAAAAACACAATCTTACTACAATTTCATCGTCACATCATATTTAGGATAAAGGTTCCAATATTTTTGGAACACTACGATTTAGTTAAGCAGAAGATGAAGAAGAAGAAGAAGAAGAAGAGTCACCAAAGTTTATACTCAATTCTTCTTCCTCCAATATGTTATAAACATCTAACTAGACTGAGAAACTCGAAGAGCACGAGGCATTATTGGTTCATGATGAACATTAATCCCGACAGCGATATTCTGCATCTTGCAATTGCTCTCCACGCTAGTCAACATCTTCTCCTTCTCTTCATCCAATCTAATCTCCTCGATTGTTCCCAATAATATCCTCTCCAAGCTTTCACCGTCGGTCCATTCTCTAATAGATGCTTTAACCAACAACGGATTCTGACTAATCAGATCCCAAACCGGGAAATTCTTACGTGGCATGACGTAATCTTCAGGTTTTAGTTTCAAACTCGGACAGTAATCACCAGCTCCGTCTCCTAGATAGATCATTTTCTTCTTCCCTTCTTTAGCTAGAGATTCTTGAATCCTCTCAATGACCAAACCCTAAATATAATATAAACAAATGATTTAATAATTAAACAAATGAAACTTTCATTTTTAGAAAGTGACCAAAAAGGAACCATAGAGATGACATGTTTTGAGTGGTACGGTCAATACCTGACCCACAAGTCCACAACATATTTTAATTTTTATATGTTTTTCATTAATTATAAGGTTAAATAAATTAATGTACCTTGCACATGTTAGGAGGGCAAGTGCGATGAGAGCAGCCATGAGAGGAGTTAGTGAAATCATGGTAAGGAGAGATTCTCAACGTGGCATGTTCATCGACGAATCCTGGGTTAGAGTTGATCTCAGAGAAGAGCTCGCTAATCCCAAGATGTTCAACGAGGGTCTCGATGAAAAACATGTTGGCGTCGCTCACTATCCTAAGTTCACACCTGGAAACCGAACCGTAAATGTCGGATCAGAAAAACGGTGGATTTTGTCTAACTTTAGACATATTTAATAGAGGAAAAAAAAAACAAAAAAAAATTATCAGGAAAACTGATTAAAAGTATAAAACCATAGAAATAAAAAAAATAAAAAATCAATAATTTTAATGTGGATTACCCTAAAGCATGTGCAGATTTGATGGCAGGGACGACCCGTGGATGGATTGGGATTGTTCTTAGGGCTTGTTTGATCTCCTCAATGGTTTTGCCTTGATCATGAAGCTCCTTCATCATACGATCCTGTTTTGTATAAAAACAAATTTTCAAAAATTAAATACAGGATAGGAAAATCGAAAACATGATGAAGAAATGAAAACGAACACGTTTTGTTTCGAAATTAAAAAAGAAAAACAAAATCAGAAACAGAGGAGGGAAAGATGAGAACAAACCATGAGTGTGTTCCAAGGCATGGTGGGGAGAAGTTGATTGAACAAATCAGTGAAGCCAAGTTCATCGATAACCCAATTATCGCTATCAACGTCGATGATTGTCTTGTCGAAATCGAACACAACGACAATGTTGTTGTTGTTGTTCTTGTTATTGCTATTGAAAGCCATGGCTCAAGAAAATTTGTGGAGGAAATGAGAGATTAGTGTTTTAGATTTTGATTGGTTTGTGGTTTGAGGAGAAGAGGAATGGGATTTGGTATTTATACAAGCAAAAAGAGAAACTATTGGGGATTTTTTAGGAGATGCCATTGGAATATTACCTTCAAGGTGAAAAAAGTTGAAGGAAGAAATTAGAATCCTTTTGGTTTCGTTTGTGAACCGTTGGATTTGATGACGTTTACGGGTCAAGGATGGGTTTTGTATGTTGATCCAACGGTTATTAGAGCTTTTTGGTGATTTTGGGTTTTAATTTTTCCTTTTTAGAAGTTTCCTAGTGGGTTTTTCATTAAGATGAGGAGGAGGAGGTGACGCGGGAATCAGAGAAGAATATTCGGGTGACATATATATCCTTCAAATAAATATGTTTTTTTGTTGATAAAGTTTAAATGAATATGTTAAAAGAAAATAACTAAATATTAACCATACTAGATCAGTTTTTGACATATGTTTTTTTTCAAAAAGAAAACTGTCAAAAATATAGATTGTCTTTTTAAAAAAAGTTTAAAAGAATATAAGTAAACATTAACACTACTAGATCAAAGATTGACAAATGATTTTTTTAAAAAAAATTGTCAAAATATATGAAATTTGTAAAACATGTTAAATAATATATTGAGACATTGAGTCTTTGACATATCATATGGGGATTATCCTATCCAATCAAGATTTTTTGGGAACTTGATAAAACTCACAATTAATTTGATTATATTATTTACCTTAATAATTTTCAGATTTCTTTTAAACTAGTACTTGATGAGAATTCTCTAAAAATATAACACTTTCACACTTTAATACATTGAGCAAAAAAAAACCCCCTATTTTTTTTTATTTTATTTTACCAAAAGGCTAATAACTCTAAATTATTGTTTTAACTTTTAAGATTTTCCTTATTTTTATGTGATATATATATATATATATATATATATTCTTAGGAACTGGATAGGAAGGCACTAGCAAAGAACTTTTGAAAGAGAGAAGGAATCGGGAGGGACAAAGATTAACAAAAAAAGGATATCCTAATTATGAAGTAGCAGCCTTCCACGGTGGCTACAGCTTTCATTGTATTTATTCAGTCTATATTTGATTTCTTCGTTAATCAACAATCAATTTTCTATTTAATTGTACTTTAGGAAAACCGGACAAACAAATTTTGCCAAAAACAGACAGACGGTCCACCGTTTAAGACTGGACTAAACTTTTCTATATTTTTAGGAGCAATAATTTGACTGATCTCCAATACACAACAACTGATTAAGAATGTCATAGCATTTGAAACGTATATATTTGAATACTTGTCGCGCATTTTGATAATAGCATTTTTCCTTTTGGTGTGTTTTCGGAAGCAGGAGAGAAGAAGCTGCATAAAGATTTTTAAGAAATTTATACAATATGTCAATTTTTAAAAGTACTATAACACAATACAAAAGTGGTGCATGTGTCAAGAACCAACAAATGTTATGTAGAAAAAAACAGTGATCAATAAAGAAATAAAGTTGGATCCGTGACACAACAGCAATGGCAAACGTAGATAAGCTGCCAGCAATTAAGATTTCTTAGAAACACGTTGCCTTGTAATTTGTGATTTACAAGACGCGTCGGCGTTAGGAACTTAGCAAACGTGATATTCACATCTACTCTTTGAGTATAAAAGGTAAACATGATTAACATAAAAGAAACATGATTTTCTTATGATTTCACATTTTGACCAAATAATTCGTGACATAACCAAATTACAACAATGAAAGAGTACGTGCCGTTTGATGTTATTTTCTCAAAACTCACATGTGTCACCCAACCAAACCTTACTAAATGTACTAGGAAAAGAAAATGATTGGTTTAGTCTAACGAAAAGCTAATGATGGTTTAGCATGAATATTATAAAACACATAAATTATTCTACTATGTCTTGGCATGACATTCGGAAACTGCTGCCTTGTGATGATTTCCACGTTGACATGAGAATCAGCATAACTACAAGCTCGTGAAATACTTAAATTCCTTGTGTCCTTGAGATTTTAGAGGACAATGAAAAATATGAAGTTTGGTAGCATCCTCTCACTTTAAGTGCGATTATTATTCGGATTCGTATAATAATTTAGCGTTACCGGCTGATTGGTGAAGCTAAATCTTTATCAAAAAAGCTGAGTGAATTATTTTGCTCTCCAAAAATCGAAACAGTTAAAAAGTGTTAATAAGATTCGTCCTTTTCTGTTTGTGTGACATGTCATGCGTGTCCCCATTAAATTTCAAAACCTGAATCCCACTTAACAAAAAGCTGCAAAGTTCCCATGTATCGTGCAGTCCAATAATCCAGGTATAATAATAATTATGATATTAGTTACAATCTACGTACACGACATTTGAATTTTGAGGTGTGTCTTGTGGAGAACTTCAAGCATCTACTCACAAACTCATATTTCTGAATTTAAATCGGATTATAACATACCAACAACATTAAATACAAATCCTTACGTTTTTGTTTTTCTCACAATTACAAACCACTAATTGGTCGTTTTGACACAGTTGAGAAATTGACTGCATGCATAGCCCACGACGTTCTGTAATACATAACACGACTAAAGGATCAATCAAATCGTCCATGTTACTGCATCCTTTTTTTTTTGTTATGAAAGAAGTATCTGTTGATCATTTGAAACTACAATCATAGAAAAAAAAACGCATTTGATAATTTAATACTCTGATTAGGTGAAAAAAATATCTGTTACCATTCAGATACCATTCAAGAAAAGAAATTTCCACTAATCCAAAAAGGAGAATTTGACAACAACAAAAGATCATCTTTAAATGAAAAGAAAAAACCATATCATTGACCCAAAAAGAGATAATTATTGTTCTAATAATTTCATCTTTACGATACTGACATCATAATGGGCTGAGAAAGTTTCCTAATTTACTACTGCAAGTCAGCAACCATTCACGGAGCACACAAATGTATGGAAGTAATTAAAATTATATGACAATACTTGTTTTCGATGATGCCAAACATAAACATTGAAAATGTTTGAGATGTTCTTCTCTAGAGTAACATAAATGTTAAATTGATCTCCTCACACTTGAACGTATTACAGACAAAATAGGAGATAGATCTGTCTATACAAGTCTTCAAGATACTTAACATATTTTTATGCACAAAAGGATGTAGCAAAAGATCTAACTGATGCACACACAAAATAAAAGCCTTTTGATATTCTTTGATTCTATTTTTTTCAGGTCAAAATTGCTCCGAGTCTTGTCGTTGTTGTTGTTGTTGTTCTTGTTGAGTTTTTGCCAAGGAGGCAAATTCACCGGACATGCTTCTCAAGAGCTGTTTACAGTACATGTCTTGTGCTTGTGTCACATTCTTCACACGATTGGCTCTAACCCAAGCAGGCTCTTCAGGGACAAGACGAGAGAGTCCAAATTTCAGAAGCAAGAGTACATGTTCCATGATGAGGATTGCAGCAAGACCCGGCTCGATCTTCCATTTGCCTTCTTGATCATATAAGCATACCAAGAGTGCCGAGTTTGTGCATATAGACATTACTACTAGAAACTGAAACACACAAGAAAGAAATCAAATCAGTACCGCAAGATTGACATGTTTTCTTGTTTCTTGTACTATCTTAATTACCTGCCATATGTTTAACCAAGCTCCAATTGTTGCAGCAGCACGAGGAAGAGGTCTTCGCAGTGTGACCAATAGCTTTAAAGCATTTGTTCTTATTTCCATTACATTGCTCTGTGTACATACATATACTCATATTTTTTAAGAAACAGAAAAATCCGAAAGCTAAAGATGAAATTTTGAGAAAATGTTCAACTCTTACCACTGCAGCAAGGGCAAAAGCAAGAGGGAAGGCACAAGCAAACATCATGATCATTCCAAACTGTAAAGCCAGCTCCAGGGAATCTGCAAATTTTTTTATCAGAGACATTTTAATGCTACAATGAAACATAATCAATCACACAAGACCATTGACTCCACAAGAGTTTATTACCATCAAAAAGTCCATCTTCAAGTTCGACACCAATGCTTGCTGAATATGTAGGCTTGAAATATTCCTTCTCAACTCTTGAGGCTATTTGTATCCTTCCTGTAGATGGTCCACCTTCGCTTTTCTTCTTCTTCCTGGAAAAGGAAAGCAGATTCAACATAGCTCAAGAGTTCTGACACGGCTTGCATGAATGAAACGAAGGGCATACCTAGCTCTAAACTTTCTGTAGCTGTACTTAAGGTAAGGCAAAGAACCATCCATCAAGGTCCAGAAAACCTGCAGAAAGTTTTGAGTTTCAAACATATGTTAATGTATCAACATTTGCAGAGTAGAGTATCTAATGAAGGGGAATCTTCTTGTTTGTTACCTGTGAGATTATTAACCGTTGGATCAACACTTGTCGAAGTGTCATGAAGTTTCGGTGTAAGAGAGCGTGGTAGAAGATTCCAATGTATGTCTGCATAAAATAGAGCCCAAAAACCTGCAATGTCGAAGTTTTCCACAGCAATGATTAGAAAAAAGAGGAACAATGAGTACTCGATCAAAGGACTCTGTTAATGATGCTGTCCTTACTTTGTATATCAAGCTATTAGCTCGATATTCCACACTCTCGTTGATCTCTCGGTTTATCAGCTTGACAGATACTTTCCCTCCCAACCGTGTGAGGTACTGAATGATTAAAAGGTAGATAGCTGTCAACACATACCTGAAACCATCACAGTAAGAAAAAATGTCATGGTTTTAACATATTAGACTGGCAAAGTTTAGAAAGAAGAAGCGAGTAAGCTCTTACTTGATGGCATCGTATGTGATCATCTCGTAGATATGAGCATAGGCCAGCTCAAATGGAAGTTGGAGGCAGATTATGCTCACGATGACAAGAACATCATTCCTAAACCTCTTGCGATATGCAAACCATTCATATCTCTGATATGCTTCCTTCTCTTGTGCTCTCTCATTTCCGATTTTCTTTATAAAGTCCTTTGGAAACGGAAGAGAACTCCATTCCATTCCGAGAAATCTGTATCCTTGACTTGGGCCAACTAAATAATTTATCTGCCATCTAAAGAAACACAGTACCAGTTAGAAGAGAATCAACGCAAAGACTGAATCAGCAATGTAAATAGAGACCTACCTGGCCAATAAGGCTGAGTTTTTACGTTTCCAGAACTGAAGAAACAAAGCAGCCCAGAGTATTATGCTGACAAAGAAACTTGGGAGAACAAGAAACTGCAAGGACCTGACCAAAAGATATATTGCAAACAAGGTATGATTGATGCACCGGCATGTCTATTAGTATCTACTTATGAGACTGTAACAGAGTTGAGAACTTACCCGAAATCAACCATCTGCACTATAAAGCCAAGTAAGGCTGGGAATATCAACCATTGCGTATACATTCCCAAGAACGAAAAGTAGACTCCAATCTGTCATTTTTTCAATGTTATGAGTTTCCATACCAAAAGCTTTAACATGTCTAGCAAGTTCTATGTGTCTACCTTTGCGCCGAAGTAAGAGTAGATCTGATCAATTGGTTGGTTTGTGCAGTTCCACCAGTTTAATGCCCAATTTTGGAGAAGTTCCTTCCTCTTGAACTCATCTGCAAACAAATGTGAGAATTTAAAACTGTTCTAGAGTGTAGACTGCCTGTAACCCAACAGATATAACAAAATAGCTTACCATGAAGAGGAAACATTTGTTTAATGACGCCCTCTGATTCCAACCTCCGGACTAATGATTCTCCTGCTGCCCAACAAAACTCTCTGCCATCAAGTTTCAGTGTAACGTCGTATCCTTCACAGTTTACCTGACACATTAAAGCAATATAAAACATGTAACCGCGGATATATAATAACTACAAAGACAGAGTTGGAGATGGCGATCTTACAATTCCATAGATAAGATGTTGATAGCACCGGAAACGTTCAAACCAGCTGAACAGTGACCCGTCAGGTTGCCGGAAGAAAGCCTCAGACCCTTGCATCTCAAAGGGGAGATCAATTCCTGAGTGAGAGATAACCATCAAACTTGTGAAGATCACAAAACAAAGGAAAGATATGTGATACCGCTACTTAGCATACGTTCACTTATCAGTATAAGTTATTAATAAAAGGAACCAGTTTTTACCAAGACGAGTAGGTTTACGTATATGAAGCTCTGCTGCTGCATTCCCTAAAGTCTCCCAAGGAGCTGCTACCTGAAGATTTACTTGAATTGTTATCATCTCAAAACGTTACTCTGATAATAGCAAAACAGACTTCAAAGAATTATTCTACAGAATTGGAGCTAAATAAGTCACCAGTCTGTTGAATCCTAGACATCATTAGACATAATTAGCAAGTTCATTAAAAATTCAAACTTTTAAACTTCCAGTGACCACAAATTTACTACTTAATTGGGAAAAGAAAGATGGAAACAAAAAGGACCGACCTTGAGAAACTCATCTGCAAGACCAACGACTCTATCAACAACCATCCCTCTCTTCTTTAGCTCAGTCACCAAAACTTCAACACAGTCTCCTTCTTCTTCTTCTTCTCGGATCCTCTTAGGAACCACCATTGCAACCTCGTGAACGATTCTCTCCTTTCCATTGCCCCCATTCATTTTGATGAAGAAAAATTTGAGCTTTTTCTTCCCAAACGTCGCTCAGTAGCTGAAGCTTCAAGCTTTCCCCTTTTTTCTAAGATCTGACTCAAATGCCTAAATTGGTATTCACCAAAGATTCCACCTTTTTTTCTCACTTTTTTGCTTCTCTAACTTTTTCTCCCTGTAAATCTAATTTTCAAGTTTCTGGACCATAAAAAGGGGATCAGGGTTTAAGTCGGAACACTGCACAAATCAAGGAGACGAAAATTCCAAAATTCCATGAAAGATATCGAATTTATTACACATCTCTCGATTTCCTTTTGTGTTAGGCACTGGCTTCTCGAATCTTGGGTAAATTTTGAAAACGTTTATGGAAAAAGGAAGAGACAAGCATTGGTCTAAATTTGAAATTGGATTGAATTTGAAAAGAATGTAACATGCAAAATTCCAAAAGAAGCTCGTTGTGAGTTGGCACGCAGACGATGAGTGATCCATCGTGGAAAGAGTGAGACACATCGGACGGTGCTTAGTCATTCTTGACACGTGTGTCTCTTCCCTTTTTTTCTCTAGCTATCCATATGTGTGTATGTGTGACTTAATGAGAGTTATGTAGCTGAAATTTTTAATTTTTGTAAACAAATTTGTTATTAGTTTGATGATTTTTAAATCCTATACTAAATTCATTCTTATATAAAAAGGTTGATTATATTATTCTACTAAAATTTGTATTATTGGGAGATTAATTTATAGAACAAAATTTTCAAAACACTATTGGGAAAATATTTTGATAGGTTTTCTAATTATCAAGTCTTTACAAATTCGGGAAAAAATAACAAATCTCTCAGACTTTTGAAGTCAATCAATTTTATATCGATCCAACTCCTAATAAAATAATGAATCCAAATTAAACCGGGTACGACCGACAATCACTAACCGTGATTTAGATTTAACCGGTGAAGTCCGACATGAATTAGGAAAACCAAAGTTGACCTCAACATTATCTTTACTTTATTCGCTTCCTTCCTCCTTTATTCTTCTTCAATCTCTGTTCTGAAAAAGTATAATTTAACGCGACGAGATCTTTTCCCAAATTCGAAGAAAACCCTAAATTTCTGCTTTTTCTTCTTCGAATTTCTGCAGAGAGATCCAAGCCAATTCCGGAGAAGCTGTTGAGGAATCGATCAACATGGGTAACACAGATAAGCTGATGAACCAGATATTCGACCTGAAATTCACGTCGAAGTCTCTGCAAAGGCAATCGAGGAAGTGCGAGAAGGAGGAGAAGGCAGAGAAACTCAAGGTGAAGAAGGCGATCGAGAAAGGAAACATGGATGGTGCTCGGATCTACGCCGAGAACGCCATTCGCAAGCGTAGCGAGCAAATGAACTACCTCCGTCTCGCTTCTCGCCTTGACGCTGTTGTTGCTCGCTTAGACACCCAGGCCAAGATGACCACCATCACCAAATCCATGACCAACATCGTCAAATCCCTCGAGTCTACTCTTGCCACAGGTATGTTCATCGTCCTTCTCCGCTGTGAATCATCCAAATTTTTCGACTTTCATCAGTTTACGCTGTTCAAAGATGTTTGGTTGAAATCTCTGATTTTCGTAACTGTGTTGATTGTTAAGAGTGAGGATAATTTGAAGGATTAGATAGTAAGAATTGGTTCTTATGGAAACACATAAAGGTTCATCTTTTTGCTGTCTTTGATAAGTTTTTTATCTGTTTTATGTTGAACAGGCAATCTACAGAAGATGTCAGAGACAATGGATTCATTCGAGAAGCAGTTTGTGAACATGGAGGTCCAAGCTGAGTTCATGGAGAACGCCATGGCTGGTTCAACTTCATTGTCCACGCCAGAAGGCGAAGTCAACAGCCTGATGCAGCAAGTAGCGGATGACTATGGTCTTGAAGTCTCTGTGGGACTACCTCAGCCTGCTGGTCATGCCATTCCTACCAAGACAGAGGAGAAAGTCGATGAGGACGATTTGTCCAGGAGGCTTGCAGAGCTTAAGGCCAGAGGTTAAATGAGCTAAAACCAACAAACTGTGCTTGGACTATCTGCCACTTTGGACGAGATATTTATCGAAATGTTACAGCTATTATCTGCAAACACTGGCGCATTTGTGTATATTTGCTCACTTTGAGATATGCTTTGTTTATAACTTTATATAAGAAAACCTTCGTGTGTTCTCTAGTTTTTACCATTTCAATGATATGCTTTCCTTTTGAGATGTGCATTTCAAAGTTTCTTTACGAGTCACTTATAAGGTACACAACTAACAAGTAACATCCTTATTCCCTAGAGTCTAGTGTTATCTGTTCTTTGGAAAAGACCTTGTCATGCTACTATTCTTGTGAGCCAGTGAATCTTCTTCCGAAGCTTGTGGATCATCTTGGTTGATTTAGGGCGTGATAAACGGAAGCCGATGGAGTCAAGGTACCAGCCGCTCCTACCGTTCATGCCAACAATGCGTCCTCCATTGACTGAGAAAGTGAAAGGTGTTCCTTGCTCAACTCCGTAAGGTCCATACACTTGTTTGTTACTCGTGAAGGTCATTGATCTGATAACATTAGTGCCACCATGAACCACTGGAGAGTAGTAGCCACTCACGCCAATCAGATACTCGTCTGGATATTGCAGCTTTATCTGCAGAAACTGGATTTACTCAAAAGAAACCAAAATCTAAGAGAGGAAGGTAGAGAAACAGAGTCCAAAGTGAGAGAGGAACATTACCTCTGTTGTTTTGCTGCCTCCGTGACTTCCGTGCTTCTCTGATCTTACAGGTCTACCATTCTTATCGTACACCACAGAGATGGAGTCGATGCAGTGATCATATACAAGTTTAATCTCACGGACACCATGATAGATCCCATCATCCCAAGCGGTTCCTCCATTTCCTCCCCATTGTCCTACGAACACAGTCAAATTCTTATCACCTTGTTGCTGTTGTTGATCCATGTGTCCTGTCCTGCGGCTTACTCGAAGGAAAGATGCTAAGAAACCAAAGTTTTACAACAAACAGGAAGCTGCTATTAATCTGATACCATGTATGGAGAACCAGACTCGTTCTTTACTGCAGCAGAAGCTTTTTGGAATCAATAGAAGTTGCGGATTGATTCAGAACAAGAACTGAGTGTTAAGCTTTTGCAACAACGCATATAAACAGAGGGCAAAACGACGAAAAAGACAGTACAGCTTCATGCGAAGGTATTGGATTCCGGGACAGCAATAGATGAAGATGATAGGTCTGCGTTTAAATGTCTTATCGTCCTTTAGAGAAAGAAGTAGGAGATTCCAGAAAACTTCAACAAGAAACATTTACATGGAACAAATTCCAAAAGTGTTCATCATAGTGTCAAAAAGAAGATAAAGAAGAATATTGCCTCTTGTTTTCTCATTACCAAGATTTAGCTTTTATTTATGCAATACGAACATGTCCTTTGCTTTCTGACACAAACAGGTTTGAAACTTTACCATACTGGCTACTCTGAGTAAGATCACACTATTTATCCTTACATTTCAGACCTGCTGTTTACATGAACTATAGAAGCTATTACTACGTGAAGTCATCGAGTAGTCCAATGAAAGAAGGAAAAACAAAAAACGAACAAAAGTATAGAAGCATTTGATAGTGAGCTATACAGCAAAAGAATCAGCAAACTAATCCAGAAAACGCCATCAAGCTCGTCTGTGGAATCATTTGTATCTCATTCTCTCTTTCAGCATCGTCAGTCCCATGTACCTGCAATTATGGCCATGTGGAAATTTGCTTTTTAGTCAGACCAAAAAGCACTGATAAAATTTCAAAGAGTATACGGTTTTTACCTTCCAAGCATCATCAAAGTAGCTTGGGGATTAGTCCCAGGAGAGATATTGAAGGTTGATCCATCCACGATTCTGAGAGAGTTAACACCAACGACCTTGAGATCACAGTTCACTACTTTCCCCACAACGCAGCCTCCATGGTAGTGCCAGATTGTGCTCACAGTTCGTCTGCAGAACTCTGCCATCACCAAATCATTCGTTTGGTCCATAGGTAATGGAACTCCAACGAACCTGAACCTACGGCTCCCAAACCATTCCCTGAACATGAAGTCCTGCATAGCTCGGCTCCTGAGTATCTCTCCAATCTTCCTAGTCCCATTGACACATCTCTCCAGATCCTGTGGATCACTGAAGTAGTTGAACCTAACCACAGGGTTTATCCTCACATCCGTTGAAGCCAACCTTAGCGAACCAACAGAGACTGGACCTAGGATCTTCTCCATTATAGTTGTCACAGGAACGTACAGAGGAGAAGCCGGTGCTCTGATGAAGACAGAATGTATAGGCGAAGCAAAAGGAATCACATTTGAAGCAGCCTCCAGAAAAGCCCCTTCTTCAGTAATACCCACAACTTGTATCAGTGAGTTCTCCATTGGAACCGGAGGAACAATGGAGATACCATTCCTCGGGTTGTCATACATGAAATCTCCCACATGAGGCTGGTCAAGAGCCACAGGGATCCCCCAAGTTGAAAGATAGCTCCTTGGACCAATTCCACTAAGAAACATCAACTGTGGGCTACCGAGTGAGCCAGCTGATAGTATCACCTCTCCTCTGTCCCGGATCAAGGCGTGATGGTAACGTCCCAGCTGATCACGGTAAACAACTCCAATCGCAGAGACATTGGAGCCTGAAGCACTCGGAGATGAAGCCAGCAACACTCTCTCCACAGTTGCGTAAACTGCAACCCTTATGTTGGAGCTTCTCGCGTGCCTAAGAAGATCTGCAGAGCTGTGTCTCCTCCCAGCGCGATCGAACGTGGAGCCTCCGATCTTAGTCCCGACTTTATGCTCCAACGTGAAGCCATTAAACGGATGCACACCAACCTCAAGCAACGCATCCCTAATCGCAGATTGCCAAGTCCTGAGCTGAGGTCTAAACACGATAGCTCTCTCCACCCACTCGTAAGACTGATTCACCATAGCCAAATCCCAATTGAGACCTGAATTATCGAAGAACTGTTTATCAGCTCGGCTGTAGAATCCGGCGTTGATCGCGCTGCTTCCTCCGAGAACACGGCCTCTCGCGTTTGGGACTCCTTCCTCGGAGACGAAGGACTGAGCCGGCGAGTCGAAGTTGTTGACGTCTGTGAGAGTGGACAAGAAACCGTCGTGCGACATCACGTTGGGCCTGTTGTACGGAACGCCGCCGCGCTCGAGGAGAAGAACGCGGAAAGATTGGGAAAGTGTGGCGGCGAGTGGGCATCCCGCCGTTCCTCCTCCGACGATTATGTAGTCGTAGTAATCCTCCGACGCAAAATCAGTCGCGTTGGTAATAAATCGCATGAATCCGGGCGCTGCAACGAAGATTCCAACATTTAGCGAAATCAGGGAAAACATCGATTACGGATTACCGAAGCGAATCAGGGAAGAATCGAAATTTCTATTCATTTTTCCTCTATTCGCAGCATAAACCAGAGTCTAATTACATTCACTATCTACGAAATCAATGAAAATCTCAGCAATCGTGCCTAAAGATTACAATGTTCAAGCTCTAAATCGAGATTCTCCAGAAATTGATAGGGATACTTACATCGATTAGTGCGTGGCCTTGCATTAGACCGAGAAACTGCTCCAAGAAGGAGAAGCAACACGAACGCCGCGTACAGAAGATGACAATCCGTCTGATTCCTCATCTTCGTTCTTCGGCGGAAGATCTTCGTAGAGCAGATAAGAAAATTAAACTTTCCCGGGAAAGAGAGACTTTCTTAGTTAAGAGGAGAAACAAAGAGGAGGAAGTTATAAAGAAGAGTAGAAGACTCAAATGGCGCTTGTTTTCTGTTATGGTGTGTTTCTCAGCACTCGAAATCACTCATAGCCGTCGATGACAAATAGACCAAGTAGGGATCAACGGTTTTCAAGAAAAGTAATCATGAGCCCAGCCGCAGTGGATAATAGCTCTTTGTACACTCACGGCCGTTAACAACAGTTTTAAGACGTCAAAACGCCGTTGCATTGGTTTAAAGTGTGCCGGTTCGAGAACCGCCAAGGCAACCAACGAAATTACGGTTCAATCCGGTTATGATAAGATAACAGGATTCAACCACGTGTCATGAAGCTGTGCGGATTAGACTGTGTAGCTACTAGTGTTATCACTGACACTTAAACCGTCGAAACACAGAGAGCGATCAAAAATGGCGATGGCGATGTTACCGGCGCTCTTCTCTTCTCCCACGATTCTAGCCAGCAGAATTCGATGCGGAGCCACCGCGAACAGTGGCGGAGCACTCTCATCTGCTTCTCCTGACTCCGACCCTAAGAGAGGTGTCTCCGTTTACAAGCCCAAGTCTTACGAGGTTCTAGTCTCTGACGCCGCGAATTCTCTTGCATTCGCTCTCAAGGAATCCAAACCTCGTCTGGAAATCGATTTTCCGTAATTACCCACTTCTTCCTTCATCTGAATTGCACAATTTTGTGTTTATTGGCTCGTCGTGATAATGTTGCCTCTTGCTCTTCTGTTCTTCTGTAGGCCTCTGCCCAGTAGCATTTCTTCATACAAGGTTTTATTTTTAGGGTTCTAATTTCCAATTTATGCTGCTATGGCTTCATTGTTAGCGTATCATTGTGTTAGTTGTATTGGACTTGCAAACGTTGTGTAGGGTTCTTCAGACGATTTTATTGATGCCAACATACAATTGGCCTTGTCCGTTGTTCGGAAACTTCAGGAGAAGATAGAGACGAGAGCTTGCATTGTAATCTATCTCCTTCACTACTTTGTTTATTAGTCATCCTTCTTAATTGGTTCTTCTGAACAATGTATATCAAACTTGCTTCAGGTTTTTCCTGACAAGCCAGAGAAGCGCAGAGCTTCACAACTCTTCAAAGCGGCGTTTGATTCGGTAACAATGGAATTTTCAATTTACTGCATTTTGCATGTCTTAGGACTTATCATCTGATATATTGGACACCTTATGATAACAAAGGCTTGATTTTTTGTGTGTGTTTCTCATCAGATTGAGGGTATTAGTATCGGTTCTCTAGATGATATACCTGGTACTTCTGTCTCCAATTTCTTCAGGGCCATAAGGAGCACCCTGGACTTTGATTTTGAAGATGAAAACGAAGGTGTAGCTAAATATTCAATTTTTTCATCTAAAAGTTTCCTTTTTCTCAAGGATTTTTGCTCATGTAAAAAGATGGATTATTGCATTTCTCATGAAGATTGTGTGTTCCTACAGGTACTTGGGAGCCCAAGGAGCCACCGACCCTTTATATGTTCATCAATTGCAGCACTCGGGAACTCTCTGTTATAGAGAAGTTTGTGGTACTGTTGGAATCCTTTTATCCTTCTTTAACTTAACATGGAACTTGGTTTGGATACGTTCACTGGCTATAGTAATTTTTTGATATTTTATTTGTTGGTGTATACTTGCAGGAAACATTTGCCGGCTCAACTCCAGCGCTTCTCTTTAATCTTGAGCTAGATACCTTACGGTATTGCCTCAATCGAAACCTCAGTTTCATGCGTTACTCAATCTCTCTCGGTTTCGTCACTTCTGGTAACAATTGAACTTTAGTGCAGCGCTGACTTAGGGCTGCTTGGCTTTCCCCCTAAAGATCTGCACTACCGGTTTCTTTCTCAGTTTGTCCCCGTCTTCTATATCCGAATCAGAGAGTATTCAAAGGTATTTGGCTATTTGCCAATTAGAATGATTCTTTTGTCCTCAGCGGAGCTGGTTGCATAAATGAAGCACCTTAATAGTTGTTTGTGTTTGCTTGGCTAAGACAGTGGCAGTGGCACCATATGTGTTGAACTACAACGGAGCACTTTTTCGACAATATCCTGGTAAATTCTGAAATACTCTTTCCAGGGACTAAAAGTATACAGTGGCACCATTTGTGTTGAATCTATCTCTGTATTGTGACTTCCTTGAACACTGAACACGATGTGATGCTTGTCTCAGTCGCTCTAAAACAGTGAGAGAGTGCTGACTCTATTCATGTTTGATATGAAAAAAAATCTTATGCAGGGCCATGGCAGGTGATGCTTAAGCAATCCGATGGTTCATTTGCATGTGTTGCAGAAAGTCCAACTCGTTTCACCCTTGGTGAAGTATGTACATAAATGCATTAAACCTTTCGTCTTTAACCTATCTCACCTCTGAAAAAAAGTAGTAATAAGTTCTGATTGATGTGGATGCAAACAGACGAAGGAAGAGCTGTTGCAGGTTCTTGGACTACAAGAAGAGAAAGGAAGCTCACTCGAGTTCCTGCGCAGGGGCTACAAGGTTTCTTTTGCACTTTGTTCTAGATTTTGTTAGTCTGTTTCTTTTACGAGCACACCGTAGCTTAATCTTGTCTGAAACTGATGATATTGCAGTCCGCAACTTGGTGGGAAGAGGATGTGGAACTTGAGTTATCATCTAATTGGCGTAGCTGAATGATGGCCAAGTCACGGCTTCATACCGTTAGTAAGTTTCACAAGTCTCTCAAGATTGAGATACTTACACCTGTATATGTTCAACATTGGTAGAGAGTGAGAGAAATGTTATGAGCATGATAAATGATAGTTTTGTAAAATGTTTCTATATATATTATTCAGTCCAACTCAATCGTAAACCATGAATAACCAACGGAAATTTCAAAGAAACCTTCTGAAGAATATTCACAAGTTGGTTTAGATGTTTAGAATATAACTTGAAAGTCAAATGCTTATGCTCTATAGTTATCGTTTAGCTGTTCTTATCAGAATATTAGTTAACAAATCGAATACTTAGCATCTTATACACGTACTTTATCAAATTTAAACTAGATAATGGACAGTGACACGATGATAACGTTTGCAAACAATTATTCAATATTCGATATGGGTTGTTAGTACTAAATTGAATAATGGTCCCATACCTGCCCAAGCTCCACTAATTGACCATCCACCAAACAAAGCTTGTAGTGGACAAAAGAGATTAGCTAATTAATGAAAAGGTTTCTAGACGGATGTACAACGACGTCGTCAAATGATTCACGTTTTACTAAGAGAAGCAAAGAAACGGAGAAGACTCCTTTCTAAACACGTGCGTCTGAAACCGGAAACGAAGACTCTGAATGAGAAACGGCGAGAGAAAAGAAAAGGGAACGCGTTGAAAAGTTAGGCGATGGTCCAGATTCAGACCAAACATCGAAAATATTCAGTTATTTACCTATAACCTATCAATTAAAGTTCTGTCCTTTTATTCTCTCCTTTTCTCTCTCTTATGCGAGCTTCACTTAGCTGAGGCGAGAGCTTCATCAATCTTGACTGAGAATTTGCATGTTTCTTGATTCCTCTTTAATCTCAGATGAAGAATCTTGGGTCGCTCCGAATTCTTCTCCTTTGCTGTCTCTTTGTCTCCTCCACCAACATAGTTTCCGTTTCTTGTCTAAACTCAGATGGGTTAACTCTACTCTCACTTCTCAAGCACTTGGACAAAGTACCAAAAGAAGTAACTTCGACATGGAAGACAAACGCATCTGAAGAAGCTACTCCTTGTAAATGGTTCGGTATCACCTGTGATGATTCTTCCAAGAAAGTTACGTCTCTCAACTTCACTCGCTCAGGGGTTTCAGGCCAATTGGGTCCTGAAATCGGACAGCTCAGAAGCTTAGAGATTTTGGATCTGAGCACTAACAGTCTCTCCGGTCCAATACCTTCTACTTTAGGAAACTGTACCAGTCTCCTGTATCTGGATTTGTCTGAAAATGAGTTCACTGGTGAGATCCCAGAAACTCTCGGAAACTTGAAGAACGTTCAAGATCTCTATCTCTACGAAAACTACCTCACCGGTGAGTTACCTGAATCCTTGTTTCGAATTCCCGGTTTGCAGACTTTACACGTTGAGTACAACAACCTAACCGGTCCGATTCCTCAAAGTATTGGCTCGGCTAAAGAAATCTTGGACCTTCGTTTGTTTGAGAATCACTTCTCCGGTAACATCCCTGAGTCGATTGGTAACTGCAGTAACCTCCAGCTTCTGTATCTGCACAAGAACGAGTTATCCGGTTCGTTGCCTGAAAGTCTCAACCTTTTGAAGAATCTCACTGACCTGTTCGTTGGTAACAACACCTTAACCGGACCAATCCGTCTCGGTTCAACAAACTGCAAGAATCTCCTGACCTTAGACCTGTCCTACAATGGATTCGAAGGTGGTGTTCCTCCTGAGTTAAGCCACTGCAGTAGCCTTGAAGCTCTAGTCATTGTCAGTGGTAACTTGTCAGGTACTATTCCTTCATCGTTAGGTATGTTGAAGAAGCTCAAAACCATTAACCTCTCCGAGAATCGTCTCTCTGGAACCATCCCTCCAGAGATAGGAAACTGCAGTAGCTTAAACATGTTGAAGCTCAACAACAACCAGCTTCAAGGCCTTATACCAAGCGCACTGGGGAAGCTGAAGAAGCTAGAAAGTCTCGAGCTTTTCGAAAACCGGTTCTCGGGGGAGATTCCGGTAGAGATATGGAAGATTCACAGTCTTGCTCAGCTGCTAGTTTACCAAAACAATCTCACAGGAGAGCTTCCTGTGGAAATGACAGAGCTCAAGAACCTAAAGATCGTCACGCTCTTCAACAACAGCTTTCACGGACCGATCCCACATGGTTTAGGTGTGAACAGCAGCTTTGAAGAGCTTGACTTCATCAGCAACAAACTCACAGGAGAGATACCTCCGAATCTCTGCCATGGGAAGAAGCTGCAAGTTCTCAACTTGGGATCTAATCAGCTTCACGGTGAAGTACCTACTTCTATAAATCACTGTAAGACCATCAGGAGATTCATACTTAGAGAGAACAACCTCTCAGGTCCACTTCCTGAGTTTTCCTCTCAGGATCATAGCCTTTCGTTTCTTGATTTCAACAGCAACAACTTCCAAGGACCGATCCCTAAAAGCCTCGGAAGCTTGAGGAACCTCTCGAGCATCAACTTGTCACGAAACAAACTCAAAGGAGAGATACCTCCACAGCTTGGCGATCTAAAATCCCTCGGATACTTAAATCTTTCACGTAACTTTCTTGAAGGCTCTCTCCCATCTCAGCTATCTAACTGTTCGAGTCTCGAGCGGTTTGATGTTGGTTACAACTCGTTAACCGGTTCGATCCCTTCCAGCTTTAGCTCCTGGAAAGGGTTAGCCACTTTGGTTCTCACAGAAAACCGGTTCTCAGGAGGCATCCCACCGTTCTTGTCTGATCTCGTAAAGCTCTCTGATCTTCGGCTTGCAAGAAACGCGTTCGGCGGTGAGATTCCTTCGTCGTTAGGGTCGTTACAGAATCTCATCTACGGTTTGGACCTGAGCGGAAACGGATTGACCGGTGAGATTCCAGTGAAGCTGAGGAGTCTTGTTAGTCTAACAAGACTCAACTTCTCCAACAACAACTTGACTGGCAATTTATCAGTTCTTGAGGATCTCACCTCTTTGCTTCACGCTGATGTCTCCAACAACCACTTCACCGGACCAATACCGGAAAAGTTAAAGAATCAGTTGATCTATGATCCGTCGTCGTTTTCGGGGAATCCAAACCTCTGCATCCCTCATTCCTTCCCGGTTAGCAACAACAGCCAAACCGAGTTTGATTACTGCGACGATCAATCCAAAACCGGAGGGCTCAGCGCCTGGAAAATCGTACTTATCGCGGTCTTTGCCGCTTTGTTCTTCGTGGTTTTGGTTCTTGGTCTTGTCTACATTTGCCTACGCCGTGGCAAAGAAAGAGGAAGAGAAAGAGAAAGACCAGAGAAAGATGCTTATGTCTTCACAGAGGAAGGTCCATCTCTGTTGCTGAGCAAAGTTCTTGCAGCAACAGACAACCTAAACGAGAAGAACATCATCGGGAAAGGAGCTCACGGGATCGTCTACAGAGCATCAATGGGCTCAGGGGAAGTCTACGCGGTGAAAAGACTCGTCTTCGCGTCTCACATCCGCGCGAACCAGAGCATGATGAGAGAGATCGAGACGATCGGGAAAGTCAGGCACAGGAACCTGATCAAGCTGGAAGGTTTCTGGCTGAGGAAAGACGACGGCTTGATGCTTTACAGATACATGCCTAGAGGAAGCCTTTACGACGTGCTTCACGGTGTGAGCTCGAAAGAAAACGAGCTTGACTGGTCTGCGAGGTTCAATTTAGCGCTCGGTGTCGCTCACGGATTGGCGTATCTACACTATGACTGTCATCCTCCGATCGTTCACCGTGACATTAAACCGGAGAACATACTCATGGATTCGGATTTGGAGCCTCACATTGGTGATTTCGGTTTGGCTCGCCTTCTTGATGACTCAACCGTCTCAACCGCCACCGTTACCGGCACCACCGGCTACATCGCCCCAGGTAAACGAATCATCTCATTGACCTGGTCTAAACCGAGGTAGTTACCGGTTTATGATTCTGTTAGGAGTCAGTTAGATTATAACAGAAACAGAGAAACCCTGTTTTTTCATTCTTTCGTTCATTATTTGAATTGGTATAGTCTGGTTTAGAGTTTAACCGAGTTAGTTACTGATTCTGTTAGGAGTCAGTTAGATTATAACAGAAACTCTGGGCCTGATTGGTTGTGGTTGTAGCTTTGATTTTTTGCTTTAGAATTTATGCTGTAGAATTTTTTTGCTGTGATTGTAGATTTTAGTGCTGTAAGATTTTTTATTGTAGATTGTGGCATTAAATATAGCATTAAAACAAAAAAGATAAGTTATAGAAACAATAGATTAAAAAATAAATGTTGAAAAAATAATAAGGAAAGAGAAAAGAGAAAATTCTGAGAGCACTTAATTTTGTGCTCTAGAAAAATTGCTTTCCAAAGCCACGGAATTTCCATAAACAAAAAAAATTGCTCTGCGTTTCAAAAATGGAAAGAGATAAAATGAGAGCTTGATAGGTAATTTTGGATTGTTGTACAGAGATTTAGTGCTCTGGAGAGCAACCACAGCTCTTACCAATCATCCCCAGATCTATTTCTTCGTTCTTTCGGGTTTATTAGAATTTGGTATAGTCTGGTTTAGAGTTTAACCGGGTTAGTTACCGGTTAGTGATTCTGTTAGGAGTCAGTTAAAGAGATACTCTGTTTTTTTTCTCTTTGGGGATCATTAGCTAATTTTAACACATGAAATCTGTGCAGAGAACGCATTCAAGACAGTGAGGGGAAGAGAATCAGATGTATACAGTTACGGAGTTGTGTTGCTGGAGCTAGTTACGAGGAAGAGAGCGGTGGACAAATCGTTCCCGGAGAGTACAGATATAGTGATTTGGGTGAGATCTGTGTTGAGCAGCAGTAACAGTAAGAATGTCGACGACATGGTGACGACAATCGTGGATCCGGTTCTGGTGGACGAGCTTCTGGATTCGAATCTGAGGGAGCAGGTGATCGAAGTGACGGAACTGGCGCTGAGTTGTACGGAGCAAGATCCGGCGAAGAGACCGACGATGAGAGAGGTGGTGAAACTGTTGATCGATGCGAAAGGTCTTGTTAGAAGCTCCGATAGTTCAGTTCGATCGCTGTCGCTAGTATAGAGCACAAGGAAAGTGCGTGGGATGTTATTGTGTTTTGGTTAACTAAAAGTAATGTAACTCGACCCATAATGTATAGATGGGCTTAATTAAGGCCCAAAAATGACGGCCCTTTGTTTGAAACGATGTTTGTAATATCCAATTTATAGAAAATCGTTGGAAAATATAATTCGTCTTGTCGGAGATGAGGATAGGGGCGGTTCGGGAGAGTTGGCTTGTTCGGAATCCGGTACTTCCTCCGGCGATTCCGGGCTTACTTCGCCGGAGTGGAAAGCCACAGCTCTCGTTTCCACTCCCGAAAAGTGAGCTAAAGCTCGTCTCTTTCATACGAAATGTTGTTTTTTTCTGGGCAAGCTTACTTTTTCTTTAAGCTCACACTTCAAGTAGCTCGGTGGATATGAAATTGAGGTGACTCTATGGTTACAGAAGTAAAATAGAAATGCTAGAAAATCGTTTGCTCTTGATGGGTTTCTATCTGAAGAGAAAAAAGAGAGAGCTTTATATGATAGGAAGAGTTTTGGATTTTGCAGGGTTGTTTCGTGGTGTGGTTCTGGCGGTTCAGGGAGGGAGAGGATACCAGTCTCCATGGGATGAAAAACCCTATGAAACTCTTCCAACTGGTAAAAGAGTTTACGTTGATGAATCTGATGTCGTGACGTTTCTTGATCCACCCAAGGAGTTGATTCCGTTGGACCCTGCTTCATATAATCCAGCTGCTTATCTCTGGTTAGTCTGTTTTGGCTGATTGAGTTGCATATTAACAAAAAGTAGCCGTAACACCATTGATAGCTATATTATATAAAATTGATGTGCTATTGAATTAGCTGTTGCTAAATGATGTTGATATCTCAAAGCAACTGGAAAAACAAATGACACCGCCAATTAGAGTTATATTACCTCTAATATCATGCATTTAACTGTTAGATTACATCTGTCATCTTGTAAAACAGTAAGAAACGGTTTAATAGAGTTTGATACTGTATAGGAAAAAGATTGAAGATATCCCGGAAGAGAGGCGCCACCGTTTGCTGCAATTGGTAGAGCCAAGGTCATTCTTGCTTAACTCTTTAACGATGTCTAGCTTTTGAGTCATGTGGTTGTCGGATTCTAATTGCAAACTTTAGTGTGCATGTTTCTTTTTTTGCTGTTTTTCATGAGATATATGTATATGCAGGCTTATATCAAGAGCGTGGGAAATAGCAGGCGCTCGTTATGATGATCCAAAGTTAGCTAAAATGACTGCATCCAAGATTTTCTCTACTGGAGATGGTGAAGTTTCACTTGAATACTTTCACTGCCGAACAAGCCAGGGTAATCCATTTTAGGTCTGAGTCCCTACAAGTCAGTGAATTTGTATGCTGATGTTTATGTTCTTGGTAACTTCTAAGACATTGTTCTCTTATTGTTTAGGTCCACTAATCATATCTTGGATAAATTCCTTCAGGATGGTAAGTGGAACCGATATCACTTCCATCTCTATGTCATTCAGCAGCATCTATCTTACAGTATCTTTCTTGACATAGCTCATATGTTCCATGGTAGGCTGTGTTTTCCTCCAACAACGGCCAAATCTATGGGCATGTTTGTGGTGAGTCCTGATCCAATTAATGTTCATCTACTCTTTCTGAGAGTTTAATCTCAACATTGAAGCCATAGTTAAGTTGATGAGGAAACTCTATCTAACAATGGAGAGATCACATATGAGCTTATCTTTGGAATTGATATAGTAAAGTTAAACAAATGAATGTCACAATATTGCTTCTTGTTTAGGCTTTTTTGCTCATCTGCCTGCAATTGTTTTTATAACATATCCGACTTTCCTTAGGCAACTGTTGCATTTAAGAGATTTTACAGATTTGTGTGCATCTTTATGACCATTTTGCAGGTGAGTGATATAAGTGACTGTAATGTTGTTACTATTGTTGCTATATATAACAAAGATCTCTAATAATGTCATCATGCAGGTGGACCGATAGTTTCAACCCTCGCCGATGCTTTCAGTCCACTATACTTTGAGGTTAATGAAGCTATGGAAGTTATGGCTACAGAAGAGCCGTGCGACATAGCATGCACATTTGGTGATGGACTCCTTGATATCGAAGATTACCCACAAGGCTTCCCTCGACCAGGTAGGATTTTCATTGCTTAGATTTAGCCGTCTCCACTTTCCTTAATAGCTTGGACAGAGTGTCCCTAAACTCATAGTTTCTTATGTTTTTTCTTTACATTATGTTGCAGCGAAGCATCCGTATCCATTCAACGACAGTGTGGTGATCTACATACGACATATAGGTCCTGGTGTATGCGTAGGACAGGCGTGGCAAGAAGGTAAAGAGCTGCAACAAGTTCCTCAAAGATTATGCTCCGACATTCTTATGGTCAAACAATACAATTGAATTAACTTAGACTAGAAGTTTTTTTCACATTAGCTAAATAGCTTTTGTTAACTTTGTATGAGAAGTTTTAAAACAAATTGTTTTTGAACCTTTGGGATTGGTGTATTAAATGAATTAAGTATGGCTGTTTTGAGAGGTAAACTCTTTTCTCTTATTAATAATGGCCGATTTGGCAATTAATGTAGCAAAGTTATGTTACTACATAGAGACACAAGGCTTGTAAAAGAAGCTCACCTTGCTTCCATCACCGTGATGGTAACTCTATTCTCTGATACATTTTCCGGCTCCGGTGACTCAACCTCCATATCCGGCAAGCTTCTCCGTGGACCATCATAGAAAGCTGGCTCTTTAGGCAAAGAAAGAGCATTATTGCCGTCGCCGTATATCACAGACACAACATCTAACATACTTGGTCTATCCTCTGCGTTCTCTTGTACACACAAGAGAGCAACTTGAACGCATCTCAACACTTGAGGGTTCTCAAGTGCAGAATCTCCCAGAGACGGATCTATCACCTCGCGGATTCGGTTCTCTTTGAAAAGATTCCACGCCTGAAAAAAAACAGAGTTTCAATGATCCAAAGACCAAATAAGCATGCGAGATGCTAACAAACGAAACAAGAAGAAGAGTGTTTAGCTTTTACATGAACTATGAGGTTGAGAGGTCCTTCCGAGTCATGGTGGAAGCTATTGTTCTTCCTCCCACAAACGATTTCAAGCATTAGAACCCCGAAGCTGAACACATCTGATTTAACCGAGAATAGCCCTTCTCTGAAGTACTCCGGAGACATATAGCCACTATACATATCAAGAGACGATTTTCTATTACCATCAAACTGGTGAGAATCTTCTCGTTGTTTCTGGTAACTCTTAAAGAGAACTTACAATGTGCCAGCGACTCTTTTGGTGTTGGCTTTGGATTCTTGGGCTCCAAATATCCGAGCCATCCCAAAATCCGATATTTTGGGATTCATATCCTCGTCCAGCAAAATGTTGCTAGCTTTGATGTCTCTGTGTATCACTTTCAATCTCGAGTACTTGTGAAGGTACAAAAGCCCTTGGATTATCCCTTCCATGATCCTAAACCGCATCCTCCAATCTAGAACATTTTTCCTCAATGGATCTACACAAAAAGATTTGGCAGACATTTTCTCACATGTGGTTTCTTCTAAAGATATTGTTGGCTTTTTTAAAGAAGCTCACTCACCAAAGAGGAAGTAATCAAGGCTCTTGTTAGGCATGTATTCGTATATCAACATCTTCTCATCCTTGTCAATGCAGCATCCTAGCAACTGCACAAGATTTGTGTGTTGGAGTTTTGCAATAAGCATGGCCTCGTTCTTGAACTCCACTAATCCTTGCCCTGACGCTATTGATAGTCTCTTGATAGCCACGTCTTCCCCATCTATTAACCTCCCCTTGAAGAAAGTATCGCAAACATCAGAATCTGCTCTTTAAAGTTAATATCAGAATCTAAAAAAATATGTCCTAATACCTTATATACAGGACCAAAACCTCCTTCACCTAGCTTGTTTGAATCGGAGAAGTAATCTGTTGCCAAGGCTACATTGTCAAAGCTATAAATCTGAAGCTCGTTATTACTCTTCCTTGCACTTCTCCTGTGTCGGCCTCTCCTATCGATTCCCAATTCACGCAGTAGCATTTCTTGGTCTATCGTTGAACCAGCCCTCAGTGTTTGTAGCCTCCTACGTATGCAACCAATCACTATACAAAATAGCAATAGTCACACACACAATTATCATACATGCTTATACAAAAGTTATTCAGCTGAGCCTTACTTTGTGGAATGATTCGCCCCCATAAAAAGTAGAACATTCCGAGAAATATGACAGTGACTGGATCAAAACACAGAAAGAAAACTTGTTGGTAAGAACACGGTTGATAAGAAAGTGTTCGAGTGATTCAAATATCAAACTTTTACCTTTTACTTTAAACTTCCTCAAAACAAGATAGATGATGAACCAAGTCACAGGTATCACTAGGAACAGTGATGCCACAACAACTAGCCAAGTTGCCGCCTTTTCGCTCCCTTGGCCTACCACAAATCCTGTATTCCAGAAAACTTAGTGTCAAAATTAGAAATGCTGCAGTAATATATTCAAAACTTGTCTACCTTTATGACGAATATATATAGTCCTGGGACTATGAGAAGACGATCTTTTGTTGGTAGGATAAGTATTCCAGATCTCGCAGCCCGTACCATCCACACTGGTCGAAGCATAGGCAAAACAATAACAGTTTTGCAGACACATGGCATGGCAATCAGCTGAGCTGAGCCTTCCACCAGTCTCATCAAGTACAGTTCCATTGCCAGGGAAAGCTGACACAGTCTCTCTGAAATAAGTGGACTCGGTATAAGGAGAGCCCGAGCAGTTCCGGAGCCCCGGTTCCATCTCCGGGACTACGCAACCAGTCTGCAAACAATCCTTGGAATTTCTCTCATAACATCTATAAGCAACCTCTTCACCGAAAGTGAAAGGAGAGCAACTGACTGACATGCGGTCGCTCTCTATCAACCCTGTTTATATGCAAAACGCCCTGTTGGTCTATCACCATCGTGGAAAAATCTGTTTCAGCAACTGAAAACATGAAATAGTGTTCACTCTCGTTTGAGACATAATAGAAGAGGAGTCGTAGTTGCTAAACGCCTCCAAGGAGAAACGTCCTTTAAACCAGAGCCCACTTGCCCAATACATGTCTCCACGCCACAAGATGGTCAACAGGTTTGTGATATTAGCATCCACGCCAAAGACAAAAGATCCAGAAGCAGGTAAAGTATCACCTAGCCATGAAGTCAGCTCCCATCTCTTCCCGGTCTTGGCATTGAAACCGAGTTTCATCCCAGGGAGAAGCGTATCCGTCGGATAGTCAAAATCTGCCACAAAACCCGCCTCGTCGATCCATCAGGATCCATTTCCTGGAGCTGGAGATTCCCGGAATCCAACAGCGTTGAGGGTTGTGTTTCCTGTGGTTTCTGTAGAGCTCAGCTCAAGCAGGGTTGATGCTCCTGTTAAAATCTTCAACCTGCCAAGAGAGTCAACTGTGAGGCTTCCAGAGGGTCCCGGAACTGGGTTGTTGCGGTTAGCAATCCACACAGCTCTGTCCTGGATGTCATTGAGATACAAACTGTTGTACCAAATCCCAAGGTACCGGTTGCTGGAGTTCTTGAAGTTGAAAAACTTGAGCTTGAAGATATTGAAGGATGAAACTAGCTCTTGCCCATCTTCCAAGTACTGCCCCTGAAGCAGCCTATCTCTTTCACAACACGATTGTCCTAACAAGAGATACAGAGTAAAAAAAGTGAGAAAGATGCAATGAGCCACATAGCAATTTGGAAGATGGACAATTTGGGCAAATAGGTATCTCAAAATTGGTTCTGAAGAGGTGGAACCATAAGTCCAAGTCCAAATTTGAAGTCTTTGCATTGAAATAAAATAATGGAGCTGAAGACGTTAACATGACGGTGGTTGGTGATGACCAAGTCTGAGATTTGACCTTTTCAAGCTAATTTTACTTGGGAAACCAAAAAAATACCTGAGTAAGCACCTGCCACAATGACACACAGAGTGGAAAAAACCGATCCTTTTGCTCGAGCAAGACCATTGAAATACAGCAACTTGGTTTGCTAAAGTTTCCATTTTTTTTCCACCGAGTTAACAGAGTAAAACAAAAGGGTTGAAGACTGTAACAGTGATAATCAAATTCAGGAAAGAGCATCCGAAAATTCATTCAGGCATTTTATCGAACACTTGTATGTATACTATGAGAATACAAGAGCGGAGGAGTAGAACATAAAAGCAAAACCTTTCGGCACAACGCTCTCATTTTGGTGATGGAGAATTCAATACTTTCCATCAGATCCGGTGTAAACTGTAAACAAGGTTTTCCTGAATTTGATTATCGCTGTTACAGTGAGAAAGCTAAAAACTGTAAACATGACGACAAAGACAAACGGATCATTCTCTCATCCTCTGTCATCATTTGATTTGATGGGCCGGGTAGATGGGCCGGGTTGCATGTAACCATGACAGGTACACCTTTCTTGGTCAAATTGAGCAAAGTTTTAAATATTTTAGCGCCATATTTTAACCACTCTCGTGTATAACGTGGCGGGATCTCGGGACACGGGAGATTTGTTTATTTTATTTTGTTTTGTTTATGCATAACAGGTACTAGTAATACAAAGAAAAATATATAAACTATCTACTGAAGAACAAGGAGGTAGCTATAATATCGATCCATGGCGATATCTCACTTCCAGCCTTTGATTCTTCTTCTTCTTGTGTCACTCTTTGTCTTGCCTGCTTTGAGCGTCAGTTTCGGTAACTGCAGGAGTAAGTATGGATTTGCTAGTGTTAGTTTTTTTTTTGATTAAAATGATTTGTGGAAGTTAAGGGAGAAAAATAAACATATTAAGGTGTTCACACCATTTCTTTTGTTGTAAACATATGTTTGCTTTCTTCTTTTGTGTTGAAACCAAAGACATTTATACTTTGATTTGTGGAAGTTTTAAGGAATTTTTTTTTGTTTTGTTTTGTTTTCTTTTCTTTGTAGGTCGTAATGAATATCCGGTTAACGTCGCGACTGTAAACATCTCTCCGTACCCAGTTAAGCGTAGTACTAATGGAAACTTTACGATAACCGGAAATACAAGTAAGTGTGTGTACAATACCTTCTTCTTTTCTTTTCAAGTTTTAAGTTTTCCAATAAATATTGTTTTATTGGTGTGAACAGGCAAAGACATCCCTGATGGAGCTACTGTGAAACTCGAACTTTCGACGTTTGTTCCGATCTCTGAGAAAACATACCCACTCTGTGATGTAACGACATGCCCCGTTAAAACTGGCCCCTTTGTCATTACTTTATCTAACGTATTCACTCCGAAAGAAATCAAATCAGTAAGTTTTGCCTTACATTATTAACACTATATAGTTTGAGACCTCCATTTGGCTTGTTTTTTTTTCTTGTTTCTGATGAGCTAACGAGACCGCTTTGGTGACCTTAGGGTGGGTATGCTGTTACAGTAAGCATCACGGATGAGGATGTGAGAGAGCCAATGATGTGTGTCGTGTTTGCTTGTAAGATCAAAAGAGGTTATGCGTCTCTGCTTAGTCAAGTTACCGAATGAAACTATGTTTCCAAGTCTTTGATCAGTCTCTCTCTCTCTCTCTATCTCGCTAGTTACTCTTTGTTTGGTAAAACAATCCGTTTGTTGTATCCTTTGTAACCCTTTATTATGTCTCGGTCCAAAAATATATAATAAAAAGGGTTAACTAAGCAGCCTTGACCGATTTCAATGTCTCTGTTTTACTTTGGTCTCATCTCTCTGAACTTTGTGCTCGGCCCATCGGTTGAGGTCAGAATTTTGTTTGATTAGTGACAAATGTTGATTTGAAGTTTGAATCTATATAGGAATTAGGAATAGAATTTTTTTTTTTTTAAATGCATGCCTTAAATTAGTAAACGTATCTTAATTAGTATGTTAAGGTTCTTTTCCTAGTTGACCATATTCAAAAGTACCTAATTATACGTTCCATCTTACGAACACTGAAAGGTTCATGTTTTATTATAAATATCGAAGAAGTATTCCAAGGAAAAGAAAAGCAAAGGAAAAGAAAATGAATTCTCTAAAACAACTCAGCTCTTTTCGCAATGACTATGTTCATAAGTGCATGTCTCATGCCAAAACGACAGTTGTGATCAACAATGATCTTGGAGGCGGTTTAGCGCTACAATACCATTGTAAATCGGGTGATAATAATCTCAAAGCTCAGAGTTTGGCACCAGGTGGATCATCGTCATTTCGGTTTAATCCTGATGTCTTCGGCCGTACTTTGTATTTTTGCAGTTTTAGCTGGCAGAACGAGTCGCATTATTTCGATATCTATGTGCAGAAGAGAGACAAAGAGTTTGAGAGGTTTGGATGCACGAATTGCTCGTGGAAAATACGCAAGAATGGACCTTGCAAACTTAACAAAAACAATAATGTATATGATGTTTGTTTTCCTTGGAATAAATGATTCTTGGGTTTAATTATAATATTTCTATGTACGTGGTTAATCACCAAACTGTGGGGGATTACTTGTATTCTACGTTTTAAAGATAATCTAATACACAACAGCTTTATTTGCAAACTGTGGGGGATTACTTGTATTCTACGTTTTAAAGATAATCTAATACACAACAGCTATATTTGCAAATGATATACTTACTAGACAAAATACCTCAAACACAAAACACTAAAACAAATTCTTTGATTCCCAATGCAATCGAAAAGTGATCATATGCAATCGGAATTAGGATTGCCTCGGAAAAATATCGACTGTGCATGTAAAAAGGATGCAATCACATGATTATTTGCTTTTGTTCCATATGATTTATATGGAAAACAAACAAAGAGGTTAAAGCTACAAGTAATCAACATAGAGGTTAAAGCTACACGTAATCAAAAATTAACTACATTTTATGAAATCATCTCTAAGATTACAGAAATAGTCTAACTCCAACTTGAAAGTGGGCCAATTATGAGTATTGTTATATATATATAGTGACTGTAATGTTGTTATTTCTGTTGCAATATATAACAAAGATCTCTAAAAATGTCATCATGCAGGTGGACCGATGCTTTCAGTCCACTATACTTTGAGGTTAATGAAGCTATGGAAGTTATGGCTACAGAAGAGCCGTGCGACATAGCATGCACATTTGGTAATGGACTCCTTGATATCGAAGATTACCCACAAGGTAGGATTTTCATTGCTTAGATTTAGCCGTCTCCACTTTCCTTAATAGCTTGATTAGACTTGAGTGTCCCTAAACTCATAGTATCTTATGTTGTCTTTCACACTTATTAATGTTGCAGCCAAGCATCCGTATCCATTCAACGACAGTGTGGTGATATACATACGACATATAGGTCCTGGTGTATGCATAGGACAGGCGTGGCAAGAAGGTAAAGAGCTGCAACAAGTTCCTCAAAGATTATGCTCTGACATTCTTATGGTCAAACAATACAAGTAAATTAATTAACAAGGCTTTTTGTTAAACTTAGACTACAAGCTTTTTTCACAATAGCAGAAAGAGCTTTTTGTTAACTTGTATTAGAGGTTACATTGTTTTTGAACATTCGTCATTGGTGCTAAAACTCTTTATCATAGATCTTTCCCATTCTTTAGTACTTTGCATCAAAACAACGTTGAACAGAAATTCCTCTTTTTATCTTTTATTGGTCAAAACAAAATGGAATCTAGAATAATGAAAAAAATTACTTTATACGTGTTCTACCAGTCAATTCCCTACGTAAAAATTTAAATATATTTGGTCGTACGAGTCAAGTCAAAATGTTGCTTGATCAAAGGTTGATTTGAAGTTTGATCTATATACTTAACAAATTTCGATGCCTTAAATTAGTAACATATCTCAATTCGTATGTTAAGGTTCTTTTCCTAGTTGACCATATTCAAAAGTACTTGACTACGTATACCATCTACGGACACTGAAATAGAAGAAACATGAAATGTTTCACTATAAATTTAGAAGAAGTAATTAAGAAAAGAAAACGAAAGAGAAACAAAAGAAAAGAAAAAAATGAATTCTCTAAAACAACTCATAGTTCTCTTCGCAATGACTATGTTCATAAGTGCAACGATGTCTCATGCCAAAACGACAGTCGTGATCAACAATGATCTTGGAGGTGGTTTAGCGCTACAATACCATTGTAAATCGGGTGATAATGATCTCGGAGCTCGGAGTTTGGCACCAGGTGGATCATGGATCATGGTCATTTCAGTTTAACCCTGATATCTTCGGCCGTACTTTGTATTTTTGCAGTTTTAGTTGGCAGAGCGAGTCGCATTATTTCGATATCTATGTACAGAAAAGAGACAAAGAGTTTGAGAGGTTTGGATGCACGAATTGCTCGTGGAAAATACGCAAGAATGGACCTTGCAAACTCAACAAAAACACTAATGTGTATGATGTTTGTTTTCCTTGGAATAAATGATTCTTGGGTTTAATTTTAATATTTCTATGTACGCTGGTTAATCACCAAACTGTGGGGATTACTTGTATTCTACGTTTTAAAAATTATCTAATACACAACAGCTTTATTTGCAAATGATATACTTACAAGACAAAATACCTCAAACACAAACAAAAGCAGACTGTGTTAGCTTTATCAGAAAAAAAACAACATCTTAAGTTTGGTCTAAAACTCGGACCCGTATTTGTTAACTGAATTAGAGTCCGAAACCCTAAATTCTTCCTTATATTCCGTTTTTCAGTATCGGTTGTTCCTGAATCTCTCAGTTACGACAACGAAGAAGTAGCCGATGCCGACGCAGCAGTCGACACCGATTATGTCGCTTCCCGATGATTTGCTATTGAACTGCATCGCACGCGTGTCGAGACTGTACTATCCGACACTCTGTCTGGTCTCCAAGAGCTTTCGATCGCTCGTTGCTTCACCCGAGCTATACAAGGTCCGGTCACTCTTGGGCCGCACCGAGAGTTGCCTCTACGTTTGCGTATGGTGCGGTTCTAAATATCGGTGGTTCACCCTATGCCTTAAACCTGATAAAACCCTAACAAACGAAGAAGAGAGTGAAGAAGAGAGCAGCAAGACGAAGTATGTTTTGGCTAGAGCCTCAATCCCAACTTCTAGTTGTGCCAGGTTTTGGTCTATAGTGGCGGTTGGCTCTAATATCTACAACATTGACGCATCCAGTACCATGTACAACGCTGACACATCCACTGGACCCGTTGGCGTCTCCATTCTGGATTGCCGATCTCACACGTGGCGCAAGTCTTGTCCAATCTTTCAAGTGAAGCGGACGTCATTTTCTGCTAGCGCCCTTGATGGGAAGATCTATGTGGCCGGATTGTGCAAAGACGACGGCTCCTATAAGAACTCCATCGAGGTCTTTGACACAAAAACACATACTTGCGATCATGTGCCCATCCCTTTCGGCGTGGAACTAAACGATGAAACTGTATGTATTGATGGAAAGCTCCATGTGGTGCTTCGCGACACAAGGGTGCTCGCTTACGATTCGAAACAAGGTAGATGGGATGAGGTGCTTTATCCGGGGATTAATCATTATATGGGCTCAGACGCTCATTGCGAGATAGACAGTGTTTTGTATTCTGCTGCTAATGGAGCTATCAGATGGTATGACACTGAGGGAAGCATGTGGAGGGAGCTGATGGGTTTGGTGGGACTACCTGAGTTACCTGATGGTAGTCGTGTCCGATTGGCGGATTATGGTGGCAAGATGGCTGTTTTTTGGGAACACATGTCCCTTCATGACTCTCTTGCCATGACAGTTTGGTGTGCGGAGATTGCGCTTGAAAGGTGCCAACCTTGTCAAATTTGGGGAACAGTTGAGTGGTTCGATCGTGTGCTCACATCCTATCATCATGACATTGTCAAGGTTGTGGCTGCCACTCTTTGATGTACTTGCACTATGATATGATGAATTTATTTACTTGCTGTCTTATATATAGGTTTCATTTGCTTGTTTTATTTGAGATGCAACTGTGATGTATCTACTTGTTAGTCTCCCTGGTTTAAGCTTATTTTTGTGGCCAAAATATGTATATGTTTTCTCTTTACATTTTATAGAAAAATGGTCTTAAATGAAATGCTTCTTATGAAAAAAATATATTGACTTAGAGAAGCCAGTAATGTCCTAAAATGTCCCATGCTAGTAACCTTAAAATGTTAACTCGGCCCAAAATTAACTAAATTTCATGAAATCATCTCTAAGATTACGGAAGTAGCAGTGTAGCTCCAACTTGAAAGTGTGCCAATTATGAGTATTGTTATTTATGTAGTGCAAAATGCAAATATCTTAAAAGTTCAATTAAAAAAATGCAAATATATTTTGAGGAAACGAGATTAATGTTTATTTATGGATTCTTGTGCCATCTTTCTTTGGCAAATTGGTGGACAGAACCAAAAAAATAAAATAAAAGCAACAGTTACAAGTTACAACACGAAGAACGAAAGAAAGCAAAGGTGGAGATGACGCAAACGTGAATCTAACGGACCGTATTCTCTGTAACACCAACGTCTTTCTTTGGCTTGTTTCATCTGAGCAAGAGCAAATTAGTCATATCTGAAATACTTTAAAGAAAGAGTTAAAGGCGTCTCTGTACACGTTTGCTTTTATCACTCTCTCTCGCAGAAATCGTCTCCTCTCTCTCTCGCTCTCTTGAATTTGAAATTCTGAGCCCTAATTTTCAGTTTCTCGTCTTCTTGAGCCTGGTGAGAATCTGATTTCTTAAAATCTCCTCTTCACTATAGATATAGTTTCGTTTTTGCTGGTGAGTCTGAAATTTATTTGCTCTTAAAAGGATTTGTCTAGTTGCGGCATGCTCCTTTAGAATTCGATTCATTTCCTTCGAATCTAAGTAAAAAGGGAAAATTTATTCCTGGTTGCCATAGGCAAGAAATCTGGTGGTGTTTATGATTTTTGGATTTTGCAATTTGGGTTGCAAAGTTTGCATTTTGGGTAGCAAAGCTTGCATTTTGAGTAGCAAAGTTTGCATTTTGAGTAGGTTTGTTGGAGAAAACTCATATCTTTCTTGTGAATCTAAGCTTGGTTTGATCTGGTTCTGTTTATAAATTTTGGATTTTGCAATTTGGGTAGCAAAGCTTGCATTTTGGGTAGCAAAGTTTGCATTTTGAGTAGCAAAGCTTGCATTTTGAGTAGCAAAGTTTGCATTTTGAATACTAAAGTTTGCATTTTGGGTAGCTTTGAAATAGGTTTGTGTGGGAAAACTCATATCTTTCATGTTAATCTAAGCTTGGTTGATGCTCTCCTTAAATTCCTTTCTTTTTGTTTTACTTTGTCAGGAGTTTAGCAATGGAAGGAGTTCCAGGGATCAACACAGTTCCAAATCCTAACCATTACGACAAGTCAATAGTGCTAGATGTAAAACCACTGCGAAGCTTGAAACCTGTGTTTCCAAATGGTAATCAAGGTCCACCATTTGTTGGATGTCCACCTTATGGCTCTGCTCCTTCTGGTTACTCGCCTTTCTTTCCATTTGGAGGACAACAACCAACGCAAGAACCTCCAGATCTCAATCAAACCCAAGCCACACCTCCTCCATCGTTTGTTGCTCCTCTTCGATCATATAGATCACCTACTGTTGTACCAACACCTACTGTTGTATCAAACGGCCCTAGTAGCAGCTCAACTGGAGCTAAAAGAGGAGTTGGCCGTCCTAAGGGATCTACTAACGCCAAGAAGAAAGAGAAGACTGTGCCTGGAGAGCCTAATTTGGATATCCAGGTGAAAAGATTCAGCACAGGTTATGATAGTGGGATTAGTGTAGCTGAGAGAGAAGATGGGAATGGGGACTTAGTAAGTAGTGTGTTGATGCGTTATGACGCTGTTAGGAGGCGGCTTGGCCAAGTGGAATATGGGAAGGCTACGACTGCGAAAGCAGCAGGCATTATAATGAGCAATGGGGTGAGGACAAACATGAAGAAGAGAGTTGGGAATGTTCCTGGAGTTGAGGTTGGGGACATCTTCTTCTCCCGTATAGAGATGTGTTTAGTTGGTCTTCACATGCAGACTATGGCAGGGATTGACTATATAGCTAGCAAAGTTGGGTCAGATGAAGAGCCTTTAGCAACTAGCATTGTTTCAGCTGGACGTTATGATGGTGAAGCTCAGGATCCTGAGTCTTTGATCTACAGTGGACAAGGAGGTAATGCAGACAAGAACGGACAAGCATCTGATCAGAAGCTTGAAAGGGGTAATCTTGCATTAGAGAAGAGCTTGAAGAAAGGCAATGGAGTGAGAGTGATACGAGGAGAAGAGGATCCAGCTAGTAAAACAGGGAGGATCTATATCTATGATGGACTTTACTCAATCTCAGAGTCATGGGTGGAGAAAGGGAAGTCTGGTTGCAACACATTTAAGTATAGACTGGTGAGACAACCTGGTCAGCCACCTGCTTTTGGAATCTGGAAAGCTGTTCAGAAGTGGAAGGAAGGTTTGACTACAAGAAGAGGACTTATCCTTCCTGATCTCACTTCAGCAGTTGAAAGCAAACCTGTCTCCCTTGTGAATGACGTTGATGGAGAGAAGGGGCCTGCTTATTTTAACTATATCTCTTCTCTGAAGCACGTGGAAACGTTTAAACTAATCCAGACCATGATTGGTTGTTCCTGTTACGGCTCATGTGCGCCGGGGGATCTTAACTGCTCTTGCATCAGAAGAAACGGAGGTGATCTTCCTTACCTTAATGGGGTCATGCTTGTTTCTCGGAGGCCAATGATATATGAATGTGGCCCAACCTGTCCATGTGTTGCCAGTTGCAAGAACAAAGTGATTCAGACGGGAGTTAAAGCTCGCCTGGAAGTGTTTAAGACAGCGAACCGTGGTTGGGGTTTACGTTCTTGGGACGCCATCCGTGCTGGTACTTTCATTTGTGAATATGCTGGTGAGATCAAAGACAGAGGCAATCTTAGAGAGGACCAAGATGAGGATGAGTATGTCTTCGACACATCACGTGTTTGTAATCCATTCAAGTGGAATTACGAGCCTGCATTAGTAGATGAGGACCCTTCAGAGGAACTCCCAGAGGAGTTTAATCTCCCATCACCAGTCCTGATCAGTGCCAAGAATTTTGGAAATGTTGCTCGGTTCATGAACCACAGTTGCTCCCCCAACGTTCTGTGGCAGCCAGTTGTTTGTGAAGGAAACGGTGAATCAGTTGTCCACATTGCTTTCTTTGCCATCCGTCACATTCCTCCAATGGCTGAACTGACTTATGACTATGGAGTCTCCCCTACATCCCATTCTGGAGATGGAAGCCTTTTACATGGAAAGTGGAGATGTAACTGTGGATCTGTGAAATGCCGTGGCTCTTTCGGATAATCTGAGAAAATGTAAGCATTTGATTTCCACTTTTCTTGTACTTCCATATATCATTCTTGACACAATTCGTCTGAGACCATTTCAATTGTAACAGGACAGATTGACAGAAGGTCTCAAGGAGGTGGTTTTTGTTGTGCGCTTAGTTCTTCTTAAGGTAAAAATGGTTGCCGTTTTCTAAAACTGTGTATGTATTTCAATGTACTGTATTGGCAATGGCACCATATCGGCTTTAGGTTTCATGCTCTTAGATTTGGTAGATTTAAACTCTATAGAGCGGTTTAATTATGTTTTATTGTAACAATTTATCAGGAGACTTTAAGAATGAAACAAAATCGATGTCTGTTTGGTGATTAATATTAACCGTCACTGTTCTTCATGTACTCCTTGGAAAGCTTTGTTTCCATGATGAGTTTTTGTTCCTTAATGAGTGAGTATCCTGATTCCAGCAATGCTTCCACCGTTTGCTGTTTCACACCATTAATCATCATCATGAAACAAACCCTTTCATATGACCTTCAAAAAGTTGTAAGAGAAAGATAGAGAGAGATCACTGTGAATCCTATAATAGCATTTACCTCAGGAGGAATGAATTGAGGAACCTTTTCAGTCTTTTTACGTCTGAGAAGAGTCTTCCCTAGAGTCTCTATTCCTCCAGCATCCTCTACCCACTGTAACAAACAAAGAGATTAGCCATTTTCCCTGCAGACATCTTTTATGTAGGAGATGGTTTGTTCATGGCTCTGATTGTTTAAGTTACCTTGAGGATGGATTTATCATATGTACGTGACCTTAGGGCTCCATAGAAGTCAAGTGCTGCAATACAATAATGAAGAGGTTAATGAAGCTTCACACAGCGACTTTGTATTCCTCATTGAGATATTACATTTATTACCTTGATTTGGAAACTTATCAACAATGCTTGCAACTTCTTTCCTCGAAATCCCATCTTTCTCGTACATTCTGCTTACAATGTTAACGATGTCCTCACGTGTTGGCTGCCTGTTTTAAAACACCAAACACTTAGGAAAGATCTCAAAGTTGCTGAGGGAAATGAAATGCAATCTGTGTAATGTTATTATTACCAGTAGAACTTCTCCATTCTTCCTTCACGGATCAGTGGAGCATATAGCCTTGAGAAATCATTCCCTGTGACAATGAGAGGGACTCTGTTTACAACGTCAGCTTCTCTCCAGTCTTGTCCCACACTTACCCTTGTTGGATTATCCGCAAGATTCATCAGAGTACCCACAACTATCTGGTTGTTCACTGTCATTTGTGTTTCCCCTAGACAGAAAGAGCAATAAACTCGGTTAAGATCATTAATGTCACAACATAGCTTTAAGTTATCTTGGATTGACTTCTTACCAAATCTACCAAGGCCAGCATCAATATCATTGATCATGAGAACACTCATCTTCCCCTGCATTACATGTCAGAGCAAAGTTCATGCCAATCTTGCACAGATAAATAGGTGTAACAAGAAGAAAAGCTACTGACTTGATTCTGAATGACTTGTGAAGCTGTTCGATACCGGTCACGTATGAGTTTCCCTGGTTCTCCTGTTGAGGAAACACTAGAAAGATGAGAACTTCGATAGCACAATGGTCACTGAAAGCAACTCTATACCAAATTAGGAGAAAATCACCAGCTCTATCGGATTCTAACTCTCCTGCAGACATTATAACAGGTTCAACTCCCATGGTCTTGAATATAAGTTCGGTCTGAAACGTTTTGCCTTGTCCTTTACCTCCCCATATACCTATGCAGCCGAGAGAAAAAACCCACAATGTTCAAGAGATTTCAATCACCGGATCTAAAGCAGAGAAAGCAGGATCAGGCACATTTTCATTACCTAAGATCAATGGGATTTTTATATTTAGAGAGCTAGCAAGATAGTTCTTCACAATGTGGACCGCTGCATTAAAACAATCGTAAATATCGACATGTTGAGGTATAAACTGAAATGATTTTGTATTCATTTCATCTCTATAGTCTTCAGTTAAACTTACCAACTTTATCCTGTGGAAAAAAAGAAAAAAAGAAAGACGAATTTAGATATAACTAAGCAACCAAGTCTGAAAATTTGATCAAACACATTGGCCTTAGTGGCATATAATAGTTACCAAGAATGTTGGAGCAATGTAATAATCTCCTTGGAGATGTTCAAAGGACCTCGTTGCCTTCTGACGGTAATCAAACACAATATCAGCTGCAAAGACATCAACAGCTTCTGTTAACTCCTTAACAGAGACAGTACCAACATCAAGTAAGAAAATTGAGTTCTTTGGACTTAACCAATCAAGAAAAAAAGGAAAGAGATGACTTAACAATCTTTTCCAAGGAAGTCTCCGATGAACACGTCATCGATCATGCCAGCTCTTGCTCCGACGGCTATGTTGACGTTATCTGACTCTGCACCAAGTCTATAGAGATAATCTTTCCCTTCGGAGTCTTTTACTTCCCATGACGACTGCTCCGATAGCTTCCGCGGCTTAGCGGCACTGACTCCACTGTCATTAGCTCCGCTGCTGCCTTCATCTCCGGCCGATGAAGGCTTGGAGCAAGCGATCGAAGATGTTTTTCTAAGTGAGATTAAAGTGTTGTTGAATGTGGACGAGCAAGATGATTGTAGTGGTGGAAACTTGAAACGCAAAGATATGTTTGCAATCGCCATTATCCAAATGGCCAAATCACAACACAGTTAAAGCTTCTACCTTTTTTTTTATAAAAATCGGATTTTTTTCTAACTTTGCAAAAATTTCATTTTTTCCCAAGATAGGATTCTAAAGAAACAGAGCCATCCTAAAGAAACAGAGCCATTTTTTCCCAAGATAGGATTTCTATTTATTTTTTTCCTTTAAAAGAAAAGGAAACAAAAACGCCATTCTTGTTTCTTGTCAGGTAGTAGTTGATTCTGTGGTTCTTTGAAGACGAAGACTAGTTTTGGTCCCACGTTAAACTACTTGCAGTTCCATTTAATTAGTAAGGATAAAGTTTATAAATCTCATTTTGGATAAGGCTTGACACTAAACAAAGCGTTATTAGTTAGTCCTTTAGAAGGTAATCAGCAAACAGATTAATGAAAAACATCCATAAATTAATTCAGCCGTTACTGCTACATGCATTGTTTACTTTTAACTCATTTCATTTATCTGCCATCTTCATTATTCATTATCATCGATTATATGACCATACATATCAACTTAATTACACACATATATGTATCATACGGCACAGGAATTTAAAGCTTCCCCTTTAACAACAATAATTAGACGCACACAGAGAGAACAATATAGAGACTTCTTTTGGCGATGAGATCGAGATTAAGACAAGAAGGGAGTGATCAAGAGAACCAGTTAACGAGCTCGTCCGCGTGGCTGCCAGCTGGAGGAGGAGGCACATCTTGCATCACTTTCTCTTGCCCCTTTGGATAGTATATTCCAGTACCTTCATGTGGGACCCAACTAGTCCCCGACGACGACGACGTCTCTCCGGCGACGGAGAAACCTCTCATCGTCTTCATCTCTTCTCCGGCGCCGGCGCCGTCCGTCTTCGCCGTCTCTCTCATTATGTCGTGCGACGCACTTTTCTTGTGGATCGATTTCCTAAGCATCGGCCTAAATATGTATATGTGCATAAGCATGTGTAAACAACACATGCATGTGACATATAACAAATAAGATTGCAATATATGATCTTCGTTATGATCAATATATAGGCATGCAAGTAGACTTACTTGACGAACATGGTGTTCATGGTTTGTACACCACGAGACGAGAATGTGGAAGTCGCCATTTCAAATCTCTCTTACAAAAATGTGTGAATAATCGGATATACGTATGTTATAAATTTATAATATGTATGAGTGTGTTGAGATAGTTGCAGTTATATATATACACGCACACATCATGAAATGTGAACAGAACTTAAAACAAAAATAAAATAACATAAAATTGGAATGGGACTACATAATCCATACTCACATTTCCCAATGTAGATTAATCGCCAAACCCACGCCTCTCTTTGGTCATCCCTTCCACGTGGCCCTGATCCACGTCTTCTAAATTTTGGATCATTCCTTTAGAGGCGTTGTGTTATACGTATGCACACACATATAACGTTTTGGTCTCTTGTGGCATGATTCATGATAACACAGTTTGAGCACTTCGGTTGTTATATTGGGCTTTAGATTGAAAGCCCACTAAAAACACTCAATCGACTTTAGATAAGTAAAGCCCATATATGGACCAATTTATGATCCTAATAGATACTCACTTTGGATAATATAAATAAACATAAACATAAAATACATAAAAAAATCTTAAACCCATCCTTAAAAATCTCATATAAAGCTATGATTTATTGTTTGTGTGATGATTCTGTTTCAGGTTTTTTTCTCGCTTGTTTCTCCTTCTATGTTCTGTTCTAGTCTCCTCCTTGCTCTCTCCGGTAATTCTCATCTCTTTCCTTCGCTCTCTCATCTATGTTTACTTCGAATTTCAGGGTTTATTCCTCTTTCATCTCCTTCTGCGTTTTTTCATCTGAAAGTCTCGATTTTTATGTAATTCGATGCGTCTATGAGTTTCTCTTTATTTAGCGATCATCGTGCTTTGCTCACCAATTCGAAATTACTCATCTTTTCCGAGAAAACAGCTGAAGTTTCGATAGAATTTAGACTGAGCGATGGTGGCAAAATCCACAGGGGTTTTGAGCTGAATCTAAGTTACAACCTCTACTGTTTTGGAAAATTACTAATGTTGCCTACTTTCCTAATTGCGATGATGTTTGCTTAACCAAAGTTTGTATTTTTATTGCTGTTTTCTGCATAATTTTCCTAGTGTGAAGAAGAAGCATGGGAACAGATCAATCGTCAAAAGGAAAAGCATGGTTTGGTAAAATCTACAACAAGTTGGAAAAGATACTTGTGGAAGTGGACACTTTCACCTCTCAGGTAACTTATTTCTCTCTGAGATTACTTTCCATTGTCAAATGATTTAGAGAGTAGAGAGAATGAGAGTGATGGTTTCTTTCTTGGGACATACAGAGCACGCTTTGTTTGAACTCAGATGATGATCCTTCAGGATGGGAATCTGTAAGAAGCGAACCAGAGGAATCTGCAGAGGACCGTTCTTGTGAGCAACATGATGGTGGTAAAAGTCCTGATGATCCACCGTCACATCAGAAGTTTGAGGAACAATTTGAACAAGAGGATAATTTATCTGCTGATAGAGATGACTGGGGTAGTAATCTGTCATCAGTCACTACTCTTGGCGTTGATGAAGAACCAATACTTACCGATGCTGAGTCTCAGTTCATTAAGACTTTAATCTCTCGGATATCTTCTTCTGGAGACCCTTCTGTTATTCCTCAAACTTCTGTGGATGTTTTGGGGATTGAAGAAGAAGAATGTAATGATGATGACCTGCTTGAGATTCCTACGGATGCTTCAAATCTGAATCCAATAGCTACAAAGATTCCAGAGATGCCTCTTCAAGATAGTGTAGCAAATATGATATCTTTTAATGAGGGTTGGTGCTTGATCACTTACTCTTTTCTCTAGCTTTTTTACTTTTCTCTCATTTCTGGTTTTGGTAATGCTTGTTAGTATAAGCTTTAGACCCTTTGATTAGGCTAATCACATGTTCTTTTTGTTGTTTCTAACATGTGCAACATTTTTCTCCTGCAGTTAACCTGGATGATATGTGTAATGACAAAGCTGAAGATGCTCCTTTAGCTACCAACGCATTGTATGGAATGGAATTTCAAGAAGACCCCTCTCATGTTGACGACAATGCCCTCTACGCAGTGCGTGTTAGGACCAAGAAACTCAGATCAGTCAAGGTTTCTTGCTTTCTCCCTCTGTTATAAACTCTGAATCTTGTTTCTTGCTAGTGAATCCTACTCTATACCAGACTCTAAATTTTGACTCATTTACCTTTTTTTGTCATCATCAGAGAAAGATCTTGGATGCTTTAACTTCCAAAAGAAGAAGAGAGAAGGAGTATGAACACCTTCCGATTTGGTTCGGAGATGCTGATATGGGTTCTGATCTGGTGGTCACTGGGGGAGACTCTAAACAAGTGGAAGCCATGGACTCCAAAAGCTCACAGGTACAAGAATCAGAAGATTCTCAGTGGGAGCTATTGTGAGGTTTTTATGCTCACATCATTTAGTAGAAATTCAAATCCGGTCTGTGATTTTTTTTCTTGACCGAGACTCTTGTAGCTTTATCATAACATAAACGAGCTAATCTGCTCTGAGATACACAAAGCTTTTTTGAACAAAAATGAATAAACCAAAATTTGCTTTACCTAAAACTTCATGTTCTCTTGAGAGGGATCAAAAAGAATTCCGATGACCGTTTAGCAAATATGCATAGAGAATCTCATTCCATGTATCAGGAACTCCTGGCAAACACCAGTGGATGCAATCTCCATATGTTTTCGGATCAGCTCTCTGTTCCTTTGTCAGGAGCTTCCCTCTCCGTTCTCCATACACAGTCGTATGTCCATCTTTCCTATATTCCGACAGTTGCGTTATGTTCAGGAACGTGACATTTTCTCCAACTCTGCTTAGAACATCACCAACTATCTTCATGATTTCTTGGTTTGATCCTGTGCCCCAATATGATCGTTTCTCTATTGGATATAACTCATCATAACATGTTCCATCACTCCCTGGATTCCACTCCCAGCTCCATAGATGAGTTGGAGACATACTCGAGAAGAAAACTCTTTGCTTCACTGGATTGATCTTTGTCACTAACCACTTGGCCCATGTTTCTAACGCCATTCTATAAGCAGTCGCTACATTATACTCTTTTACTTCACTTGTATCTCCATACCTGCATATGCATATGTATAGATATAAGTTTTTCATTCTAGGCGCTGCTGAAATGCAAGATTTTTGCTTTAGCTTACGTTGCATTGATCTTAGGTTGATGCATCCACCAAACATAGCTCTCAAACACTAGAACATCAACACCTTCCCAGCTCTTGCTATGTTTCTCAATGGCGTCGAGGTTAACTAATCTTTTGTGTACCGTATGATTAGTTGCATGATCTGAAATCGACTCCACGATGAAAGGCGCCCAGTAATACTCGATTGATACATTGTATTCCTGATCAAATTTGCATACACATTTAATACAAAAAAACTCTTTTAATAGGAAGATATATGTTTTATGTACCTCAGCTTTAAAGATCTTCATAGGAGGAACCCTGTGAAAGGACTTCTTGTTGTCAGGTATTACTGATTGCACCATACAGATCATTGACTCGAACGTGCTTCTCTGCACCGAGTCTCCTATGAACATCACTCTTTTGTCTCTCAACACGTCCAACATTTTCAGAGCATTGAACCTGAAAACATCTCAGAGATTTTAAAACACTACTCAAGTGTGGATCTGAGAGCATGAATCAACTTTATCTTTCTTACCTGGGCAAGTCGCATGAGTTTGGCTGCCATCTCCAGTTCTGGTAATGAGAATCAGGCCGTCCGTTTCGTTGACATGTTGTTTGCTTGACCAAATAAGGACAGCTCTCCTCTTTGTAAAGAGGGTAAGAGACATTGTCCCAAACCCATTGTCCTTCAAAGACATTGCAGCTCTCATCAAGTTGATCTTCCTTGGTGACAAACACTGCCTGTTTCTGTCTGAAGCCATTGAGCTTGGATATCCGGCTCTGGTTGCTCTTGAGCTCATCAAGAATCAGTCTCACGGATCCTAAAAGTACAAAACTAACAAGAACAACTTGGAAAATGGATTGGGTAATCCGCGAATCTGCATAAGTTTGCATCGACATTTGAAACAGACTCAACGGGAGATATTAGTTTAGAACTTCTTCTTCTTGCTGTTGAGCTCATGAATCTGTTTTTGGTGTTAGAAAGAATCGAATACCTTCACTTACAAGCATCAAAAATATAATTTTCTTCCATGTAACCACCGGTTGTTAAACTTTCTACATTAGGTAGCATATATTTTTCTATTATTTGGTCTTCAAATAGTGATATGACAAAAGACTGCTCAGAAAAATTATAGCAGTTATGAACATAAGACCACCAAACAATTAAGAAATACAGAACAAGCCTGTTCAACTGATGCAAGGCCGAAACAAAAGACTTGAGTTCACTTTTCTGTACAGTTCACAAGAACCCTAATACAAAGAAAAAAAAACAACCCAATTGGGGGATAGTTGGAAAAAAGTTTTGCTACTGAAAGAGATGCCACAAAGTTTGGAATCGACAACACGATGGCTCCTTCCTATGCTAAGTACTTTCACAATCTTGGTTATTTGCCAGTATCAGATCCATGCCCTGAGCTGTCACTGTCAGAATCTGCATATAACCAAAGAGGAATCTGAGTAAAAAGTTTGGAAATGTGATGCTGACAGGGGAAGAAGGATAAAAAAATTTCAAACATTTACCACTAGAACACGAGCCTGAGCCACTACTAGAACTGTTAGAACTGCTTGATCGAACAGGAGAAGCCACATGACCTGAAAATGTCAAAACAAGTTTTAATCAAGAGTAGTTATTGCAGTGGAGCTCCAGAGCTTAATACGATCTTATGAACTAAAATCTCACTTGATTCTGTAACTTTTGGTGATTCACGGCCAGTTACTAGATTGTTCTGTGCACACGAAAGAAGAAACAGTATGTCATTAGAGCTTAGATACCATTTAATATGGTAAAAGCAAGAGAAGTGAATAACAATTAGTTTCTTTGCTCTCACCGGTTCTTGGACGCTATTGTGAAAAGATTCAGCATCTCTCTCTGAGCCCAACCCCTGTTCTCCCTTTTGCTTGCTCGAGCTCTCCTTGTGTTCAGCCACGAATCTGAAGAGCTCCCAAAGCGTTTCAAGGTCAAGACTTTCAATATCCAGCTCAATCTCATCATCCTGTTGAGCGAGCTCCGGATTCCTCTTCTTTATAATCTGAACAACTGCCTCTAGCTTGTCGAAAGGTAAATCCTGAAGGTCTTCACTAAGTCCCCGCTTCTCCTCAAACGTCAACTCCCTACTTCCAGATGCTTCTTCTTCTCCAGGCTTCTCAGGGGAAACAGTTACAACTTCAGTTTCCACTTGGTTTGTCATAGATTCTGCTCTCTCCAAAGTCCTATTCTCAACTACAGCTGGAGGAGGAGGAGATGGAGAAGGTGTAGGAGCAGGAGCGTTTCTTGGAACAGGAGCATGAAATTCGATTGGTTGCTGTTGTTGCCTTCTATTGAGAACCTCACACTGTGTCTCAAGCGGTGCCCATTTCTCTTCAAACATTCTCAACAAAAGCTCAGCTACATGATGCACATCATGGCCCTTAGGGTTATACAGCATTGCATTGTTAAACGTAAGCCTCACGTCCTCTGCAAAATCCAATGGTGACTTGTACAAACTCTTGCTCAGCTTAGTCTTCACTGTACCCAAATCCATAGGCTTCTTAATGATGATGTGATAGTCATGTAAACCAAGCCTAGTCGCATCAACAGGCGAATTGAAAATCCATCCAGACTTATGCTTCATCAATTTCGTAAGCAGATTGTTGCAGTTCTTCAGAATCTGAACCGTACCTTTATCAGCAGCAGGAGCTACGTGACCACCACCGCCTTTCTTTCCACCGTGTGCTGTTTTCAGCTTCTTGTTCGGCGGCACGGAGGTAAAATCTCCGGCGATGTTGTTACCTCGCTTGATCAAGCTCCTAACTTCTTCCAGCTCAGCCATTAGTTTTCGCTTCAAGTTCCTAACTTCGAGCTTTGAGATTGAGCTCAGGCTTATCTTCACCATCTGATGATTATCCTCCGGGGACACGAGCGGAATCGGCCTCTCCTGCCTCGCCGCTAAACTGGGCTTCGCTCTTTTTTGGCTTTTGTTGCCACTGTCGCTCCAATTGTGCTTCGTCTTCGATACTCCACCACCGGCTACAGGACCAGCCGCCATTGCCTCGCTGACGATTTCTCTCGACGGGAATTTAGGGTTTCTTTAGGGTTTTTACGCACACCGTCAATAATGAGGATTCAAACGAGAAATCGAAGATCGGTGAGATTGATCAGAAAGGGATTATGATCTGGTTCATGAACATTGACTGGGATTGCATCGACGAAACCCTAGGGAAGCAATTGCGAGTTACAACACGCGCTTCATCTCACGCGCTTAGAGATCCCGAGAAATTAGGGGAATAACACATGTGTAAAGTGTGACTGTGGGAATTAATGCCTACGTGTCTGCACAAAATACCAAACCGGAACAAACCGAGAAGCAAATCTAGATGTATGTCCCGGTTTAGTCACAATTCAGAGAGTTTTGACTTAATTGAATGTACAAAGCATATTTAGCTAAGTAAAGCCATGTGCAGTTTCATTGAGAAACACAACTTTTGAAATATAAATTCGAGTAAGATCCTAAATTTAAGCAAAGATGAATATGAAATCAAATTCACTAAAATCAAATAAACCAAAAAACACAGAGAAATGGTATTCAAGAATCATTCTTCAAGAACAGTTTCTTCTACTTTCTTCTCTTCCACTTCACTTCCATTCAGATTCACAACAATCATTACCTTAGCACTTATCTTCTGTTCTTCTTACTACATCTTCTTCTCCCAGCTCGACTACTCTCTGGTGACCTATTCACCGGAGAAACCCCCGTTCGTCGGAGATCTTCGAGACCTAACTTTCCCATGGAACAAACTCTCTCTCGGACCAATCTCCGAGAAGCTAAAACTCGCCGTCTTCTGCAAATCATGGCCCGTGGGTTCGATCCCCGGAGGAATGGAGCGTCACGCGTACACTCTCTACTCTTCTCTCGCCTCAAGAGGTCACGAGGTTCACGTCTTCACGGTTTCTTCCGACAAAAGTAACAACAGAGAAGATTATTACAACAAAGGTCATCTACACATTTACTTCGCTCCAAACCAAAACGGTGTACTTAACCAAACAAAGGCTTTCGAGGTCTTCCACAGAATCAACGGCTTCGATTACGTTCACACTGAGAGTGTTTCTCTGCCTCATTGGCGAATCAAGTTAGTGCCTAACGGTGACGTGGCTGTGACGTGGCATGGAATCTGGTACGAGATCATGCATTCCAAGCTATTCCAAGAGCTTTCGAATGATCCTCCTAGCTCCGAAGATCTTCAACAAACAATGCCTAGACTCGTCGAAGAGATCAGATTCTTCTCGAGCTATAAACACCACATTTGCATAAGCAACAGCGCGCGTGAGGTTCTTGTTAACATCTACCAGCTTCCCAAGAGAAACGTTCACGTTATAGTCAACGGCGTTGACCAGACCAAGTTCGTGCATTCCCCTGAATCTGGAGCTAGGTTTAGGGCGAAACACGGTGTTCCTGGTAGTGGTAATAAGACGGTTATTGTGATGGGTGTCTCTGGACGTCTGGTGAGAGACAAAGGACATCCACTTCTTTACGAAGCGTTTGCTTTGGTCGTTAAAACGCACCCGCAAGTGTTTCTACTTGTGGCTGGATCTGGTCCTTGGGGGAGAAGATACGCGGAGTTAGGTCAAAACGTTAGGGTTTTGGGAGCTTTAGAGCCAGAAGAGATCTCTGGTTTCTACAACGCGTTGGATGTGTTTGTGAATCCAACGCTGAGACCGCAAGGGCTTGATTTGACGATCGTTGAGGCAATGCAGTGTGGGAAACCGGTGGTGGCGCCGAATTATCCGAGCATTGTTGGGACGGTGGTTGTGGATGAGCGTTTTGGGTACACGTTTTCTCCAAACGTGAGGTCTCTTGTTGAGACTTTGGATTCAGTTGTGAGAGATGGGTCTAGGGTTTTGGAGATGAAGGGACAAGCTTGCAAGGGATATGCTCTTTCGATGTTTACAGCGACTCAAATGGCTTCGGCTTATGAGAGATTTTTTATGTGTATGAAGAACGAGAACTATTGTAAGTACCCTCTTCCTATAGATAATTGATTTTTTTTGGGAGTTTCCGTAAGTTAAATTGTTTATTTTGTAACAAGCTACTTGATCTCTTGCAATATAGAGTTTCGTACTCTTCTTTTACACACATACACTCACTTGTAAGTTTTTATATTGTTTAAATATCTCATAATTCTTTTTCTTCTCTATGGATCCTAATAAAAAAAATTAAAAAAAAAATTAAAAATTTGGAAATATGGGTTTTGTAGAGAACATTTCAAGGTTTTGGTCCCTGAAAGAAAGATATACAATTGAAGATTTGAAGGAGGAGAAAATTAGAGAAGTTGACGTAGAGTTTAAACAAAGTATAATTTCCTTAGAACCAAATCTCCGTTTTCCCCTGTTTCTTTACTTCAATCACTATCTATCCTTTTCACTATGTGCTTTAAACTTCTGATGGTGGACGATGAGGAGAAAGAGTCCATAAATAATGTTACACGAGCCATTGGAGAATAAAACAGGATATGTTAAACTAATTCTTTTTTGAGAAAAGGCTATATGTTAAACTAATTCAGTCTCCCTTTTCATAGTTTTTCTTTACGATTTCTTTTATATACTTCCTATGCAAAAAACGTCTTCTCTAGTCTCTACTAGACTAATATAAATATTAAAATGTATAAGGTACGTAAAGCATGCACAATTCATAAATCTGTAATACATAAAATTTAGTTTGGTTACACCGAACGGAAAAACAAGGCTAGATACAGAACGCTGAACGGATCAATATGCTTTCTTCTGAACCGGTTACTCGATCAAGAAAAGAAAAGGAAAAAAAAATACTTTGAATCTACGATAGTAGAATTCAATGATGACGAGGATCAGGACCTCCAGGACTAAGTCGCATGGACTCATTAAAACCTCTCTCCATAAGCTTCTCCATATTAGCTTTCAACACTTCCTCTGCTTCTCTCATCATACGCCCTCGTTTACTTCCGTCTGCGTTTGGAAACCGCAGCTGCAGAGGTCGGGACGCTGATAAACGCGATAAAGAAACGCAAATCAAGAACAAACACAGCCATAATTTCAGTTTAGCCATGTGCTATGGTAATGATTCAATACAAAAATGTGTTTTTGTGTAAAACTTTTGGTAAATACTAGTATATGTGTGGTATGTGTTTGTATATGTGTGTATGTTTTCATCACATGCTTGAGACATATATATAGAGAATGGCATTGGGATCATGAATCTCACTGAAATGATAATTTTTTCGCTATAATATTTATATAATAGATAAGGCGGTCGTAAAAGCCAATTTATCATTGACGAGTTTCCAACTTCTGCAAAGTGCTCGTTCGAGGCACATGCACTTACAAGTTACACAATACATATATATTCTCTTTGTCAACATATAATGATATAAAACATACTAAAGTAAGCTATTGATAGTGTATATATACTTATATGATATCACATGTGTGCGTGAGTGTGATAAGTAAAAACTATACAATGTATGGATACTTTTTGAGTAATGCGAATGATTTTATAATCAGAATGTAAATTTATTTATAGCATATAACCCAAAAGTAAAATGTTAAGAAAACGTGAAAATGAGTAGATGACATGTGTTAAGGGTGGATTAACCAACTAAACCAGTTCATAATATAAAAAGGAAAACATGGGGGACAAATGTGAATGGGCTCAATTTTTAAAAAATTGTCGTTGCAGCCGACTTTTGCCGCCTTTCTGTTAGTTGGCCTTTTGCAAGTTGACCATATGAGTTAACTAAACGTAAATCGGAAGTAAGGATCTGAGTAGGTCTTCTGATTGAGTTTTGATTCTAATGACTGAAAATAACAGATGTAATAAAATAACAGAACAAAGAGTGTTATTAATAACAAGCAAAAGCAACTATGAATCTCTATGTAGTCTGTGCATGTAATGAATCTAGATTATAAAAAGAACTAGATTAAAGAGAATATTCATGAATGATGAGAGTAGGACAAAATTTTATTTTGGTTCATAACAGTCTTCAAGTTGAAGTTGGAGACAGTTTTATGATAAAAATAAAATTATTAGCGGAAACGATTTTGGATTTTGTGGATTATGTCTCGCACTTTTGTTTATAGAGTAAGTGAAGCAACCAATTCGAAGCTCGAAGAAAAAGCGAATAAAACACTAACTTCAACCCAACAACTAAAGAGAGCAGTATTGACAGAAATACCTAATTTTCGAGATCACAAGGATTTAGAAAGAAGAAAAAAGTATGTTAGATTGAATTTGCGAGAATCTTAGATTGAATAGTGAGATATGATTTATATAGACACTCAAGATCCTATTGTACAATATACTGTACATTGTTTGATTGAATAAAATGAAAAGACTTGGAGTTTCTCATATTACAAAATAGTTATGCTGATGTTTTTTTTTTCCTACACGTATATTTTAAAGTTACCAAAATACTTTTGACCAGCTTACATATCGAATTGTGGACTTATATGGGTCTTAAACTCATAAAAGAACAGATACACACTATATACAAATGTCTAGAGCTGAGAAAATAACCTAAATTAAATGTGAATATCAAAAGCTGTGTGTAGTAGTATATATACTTAGCTAGTAAATAGATAAAGAAATAAAGGAGGCATAATAAGTAAAGGTATAGTGGGTCTCTATCAGATGATCAAAGGTTATTAAGGTTTAACTAACTACTTCCCACCGTGGTCCTCACACCTCTGGTCGGCACTTCCTTACATAACTTATTCTATCCAACTTTTTCTTCCATTCATGTTCCAAATATACAAAATCTATTATTTATGTTTGTGTGTATGCTTATATTTCACTATTTTGAGTTGAATAACAACCAAGGAAGGGATAAAAAATGGATCACGATCGCTGAATTGAAGATAAACTAAAGAAATTTGTGATGACGGTTAGTCACTCACAAGTCATAATTACCTTTATTACCACTTTTTAATTTTCTTTTTGAAAAAGAATTGTTTTTTTCTATATTCAATGAAGCGTCAACTATTTTTTAAAGAAAACGCTTTTTTTTTTTTTGTTCTAAGAGTTAAGTATCATTTTGTCAAATGGTAGAATTTGGCCATCTTCAATTCGTTGGCTTGATTCCAGTTTATATCGATTAATTATACTAGCTGATTAATCCAATTTGCTGTAGAAATTCTTACAGTGTTCCTTTCTAAAATCTGTCCAATTTTGTGACATGTTGTTATCTTCTTTGAGAATTATGAGGCTTATTCTCATTGAGAGTTTAGTTGTTCCTGTAATAAAGATTTGGCAACATTTCGAAATAGAGCTCGATACTGATCTACTAACATTCATCAGCTCATTCACATAATGTAACTATAATACAACTCTTCAAAAATGTAAATTTTATTCATTCACAGAAGTGTCTATAACAATTGTTATGAACAGATAAAACTAGTCAGGCAATAGAGGTAACCTCTCGATGCCATAAGGTAAACCATTTAATTCTCCGGCGGCACAATCGAACTCGTCAAGCTCTCCTCCGTTCTCTTCTTCAGGCTCTTCTTCCTCTTCCTCTTCATCTCCGTCTCTATCTTCTTCCGAACCACAAGGGAGGATACGTAGATACACCTCGTTTCCTCTCCATTGCCTTTCTGATCGTAAATTATACTTCTTCACTAGATTTCCTTGAAATGACACAATCTTTGCTGGCCTCGGTAGTAGATCCACTGGTTCCTTATTCGGTATCACTATCCTCTCTATCGCTAATCTCGCTTCCTGCATACAAACGAATCAGTTTGAAGCAATGGTTACTATCAGAGAGAGTTTTGAGTAGCTCTTTTAGGTAGTACCTCTAAGGCGTCCATTTTTTCAGATGGTTTTGGACGATCTTCTGATCCAAACTCTCCGAGTCCGTCTTCGTAATCGGTTAGTAACGCCTGCATCGCTTTGGCCACTTGAATACCTGAACTAGTCTGCAGAAAGAGAGGTTTCTTTTGGTAAAGAAGATAGAATTTGAAAACGTCAAGAACAAAGAGATTCTTTAGTTTTGTTTTTTATCACCTTTGTTACATAAACAGGTATACCGTGAGATGTAGCTAATGATTTAATCCGAGGATTCTTCCTGATCTTGGATTGCAATGCAAGTAAAGCTTCCGCTTCGCTCATGTTATCGGTTATCTCCACTGCAGTTTCCATCTCTAGTTGTTTGATTGCCTGAAGGACAGTTGCTTCTGCAATCTGAGTGGGAGAAATTTGAAGAATCTGTGTATTAGTATCTGTAACATAAAAAGAAAGAAGAAGGAGAATTTGCAAAAGTCATTCCAATTTTACCCCATAGACATATAGATACATCGGTGTCTCGTGCTTTGAAGATTCTGTTTCAGTAATCTCCTTAGCTGGAAGGACTTCAGAGATAGTTTCCTCCTTGGTGGGCTTCGAAACATCTAATGTTTCCTCTTCGTGTTTCTTATCCAAAGTCGTCACGTCAATGGAAGAAGGTTCCTTCTTCTCCATAATCACTTCCACTCCATGAGAGTTTATTTTGCGGATTTCAACGTTTGGTAAGCGACCTTTGAACCAGCATATGAGCCAAAAGATTTGTTGTTGTAAATAACATGTTCTTTGCTTCTATTGGCAGTTCCAACTCAATAAGATAGGAGTCTACCTGCGAGAATAGCATCAACAGTTGCTTCAAGACTACGATGAACACGAACTTCAGTCTTTGAAACTATCTCTGCACCACAGCTAAACGTTGAAGGACCTTTTCTTTCAAGCACAGTCTTGGGCCCACGTCGTCTGGTTGCTTCCTCATCTCCAAGAGTCACACTCTGCCAAATATGTCCATTAATACGTCTTACATAGCAACCTATCAGAGAATTCATATTCACAACTACTAAACAGACAAAAAAACTGATCCACAATTATAGACCATTTTGAGCTACAACAACATGATATCACTCAATTGTAAGAAAGCACATCATGTCTAACCTGTACACCTCCAACGAGGAGGTCTAACGAAGGGTTCTTAATCAAATTCTCAATGGTAGCTCCATGAGCCGTGGCAACCAACTGGATTCCACGCTCTGCTATAGTGCTTGCAGCGATCGCTTCAAGCTTAGTTCCAATCTCATCAATCACAATCACTTGCGGCATGTGGTTCTCCACCGCTTCTATCAGCACCTGAAAGGTAAAGCAAAATTCAAATACATACAAACAATCTCTCTTCAAGCTATCTACTAACCCACCTTGTGTTGTATGTCAGAGTTAGGGACTTGCATCCGCCTAGCATTGCCAATCCCTGGATGAGGTATATCACCATCACCACCAATCTCATTGGAAGTATCAACAATCATCACTCTCTTCTCATAGTCATCTCCTAGCATTCTTGCTATATCCCTGGAATTAGCAATGATGATGACTATACATTATCAAATCCATGGTCTAAAGGAAGAAGCTTTGATCTCTCTGTAGAAGAAGCTAACACAAACCTAATCATTGTAGTCTTCCCCACACCTGGTGGACCAATAAGGAGCAAAGAGTTCCCATCTTGGACGAGATCACGCAGCAAATCGGCGCTTCCTCTCACAGATCGACCAACGCGGCAAGTCAAGCCGATGATTTCTCCTTTCCGATTCCTTATGGCACTAATCCGGTGCAGAGTCCGGCTGATTCCAGCTCGATTATCATTAGTAAACTCTCCAACCTGAGCAGCTATAGATGTTTCGTCAACGCACATTTCAGCTGAGAAGAGCAAAAAAATATCGCTCACCAACCTGAGAGACGGCGAATTCGAGATCCTTAACCCTAACAGAGTCATCGGAGATAACGAAATCTCCAGAAGGGAATCGAGCCAGAGGCCTACGACCTAAATCCAACACTACCTCTATGAGCTCACTGATTTCAGGATGCTCCTCCAGTGTCCGTCGTATCTCCTCCGGTACCATAGCCAATAGGCGGCGTAATTCGTCATCGGAGTGGTCCTCGTCTTCTAATTCCGGAGCTGCGAGTGGAGACGAAGAGGATGAAATGGCAACAGCTCCAGGTGAGGACGAAGTGGAGGAATTCGAGAATAGAAGGAGCTTTTGGGGAAAGAGAAGAGAAGGTCGACATCTGAGATTGAAGATACCTCGTCGTTCATGGCTCAAGAGCGTTAGTGGAGGAATATGATTAGTCAGTGATAAGCTCTGCATATTCCTCGCCTGAATGGTTTAACCAATCATTGTTGTTGGTTGAGGTTTGAGAAGTTTTAAATATGAACGGATTACCAACCACGTGGACGAATCATCACAAAACACGTCACACATTTCTGACGTCAGCCACCAACAAAATAAAAAAGCAACAGAATTTTATAAATTGAAGTGAAGCAACGTCTTCATACAAAAAAGTCTACAAGTTCTGTTTTTGGTGATACACAAGACGAGACGCAAGAGTTTACATAAAAGTTTCAACAGTAATTAGAGGCTTTTTTACTGTGTATCAAGTGCAAGATCATGCCAAGCTTCTCCATCTGCTTGCTGAGTTTCCTGATCTGATACAATCGCCATGTGAGGGACTATTAGTCAAGCAGCGGTCACATAGACAATCATGGGTTTCTGATAAAGAAAAATAGTTTCTTGGCAGAGAAAGTCCTATGTAGCTTCACTATCTCCATTGCTATATTTTGGACCACATATGTATCAGCATTACCATTGTAGAATTTAAGCTAGCAGTTTTTAGAGAAGACTATTCTAAGGACTTAGAGCTACAGAATCAAAAGAAAAGCAAAGGGACATACTGGTTTCTTCAGTATCATCAGTCCTAACAGCAAGAACTGGAGGCAAGGGGAGATCTGCGAACAATAAACACAAAAATGATCTCTGATGAAATTGGGATTTTGGGAAATACAATGATCTTGAGGTGTAATGTGGGACGAAGGAAAAATGGTTACTTACCATCATCAGGTAGAGTGTCTCTCATCCACTCCTCGTCCACAATGTCTATAAGCATTCCAAGACTTACTTCCGCCATATCCAAAACAGAATTGAGCTTTAAATCACTCGGATTTCTGAAGAAAAATCATTCAAAATCAGATGACAAGTAAATGAATATACATTTTTTAGATTGTTAAAGTACAATGCAACTGGTCAATCATGCGAGAGAACTTAACAATTTCTTAAGAAAGGATCGAAGTCTATTGCTTTTTGTCATTGTACAAGAGCAACAAATATCAAACAGAAATGGGACTTTTTGATATCCCATTTTGATTTCGATCTAACAGAGAAAATCTTGTTCATAACATATACATGGGTACTTGAAACTATCTGTAAATAGATTAGGGCTGTACAGAGGAAATTCGTCGAGCAGGTGGTTAGCAATCTAGGAGAGACCGAATATGAAATTCGAACCAAGATTTAAAGCCAATCCATATAGAAAGACACGATTTTTCATCGAAAAAATCAAAACTTTAAATTGAATTACTCAAAAAAACTGCAAGAGATTCACCTGGTAGAGAGACGACGATGGAGCGAGAAAAGCAGAAGCACACTTTTCAATTGAATTTTGAGTTTTTCTCCTTTTTTATTTTATTTTATCCTTCAAATAATTAGGGAAACCTTCTAGCTCACTCAGAAGTTTCTAAAGGCTGGTGAAATTTCAAAGTTAGGTTTTTTATCTCATTGAGCTAAAAGCCGGCCACAACTGCGACCGACCACTCTCCCCGCCGATTGCCGGATCGTTTCAGGTCCCTTCTTCTTCTTCTTCTCCTTCAATTTCAGTTTTTCACCTGGAGAAGTTTTTGTATGAAAGTTGCTTCCTTTAATAATATCAATGCATATCTTCGATCCAGTAGAGTAATTTAGTGATGTTTCGTTTCCTCCTCCGCGATTCATATGTAACTAGTCTGCAAACGGATTTTAAACTAGATTGATGACGATGGTTTATGAAAGTTAAAAGCTTTTTGTTGACTTCAATTTGTAATTTTGGGATAATCTTCAAGCCAATGTAGCCAATTCTGTGATTTCTCTTTAGGTGTCTCAAGTAAGCAATGAGTTCTACTTCTTCACCGTCGTTGGAGATTTTAGGTACATATCTCTGAAACTCTGTTTCTGTATATATTCTGTGGTTTGTGTTAAAATGTCTCTTCTCTGAAATCTAAAGTCACTTTTTGTTTGCAGTTAGAGAAGCTGAAGGCTTCACTGTGTGGAATGGCCCTCCATTCAGTAACAACCAGCCTACTGTCAAGCTTGAACGAGTTTCATGCTCCAACACAAAGTTCAGCTTCGATGGATCGAAGATTATGGCGATGAAGTCAGATGATATCATCAGTATCTATGATGCAACCAGCTGGAGAGAAGTGCGGTCGTTCACAATAGCAAATGTTACAGCTGCTGAGCTATCTCCGTGCGGGACTTATCTTCAGACCTTTCAGAAACCTTCTACTCCTCAGGAGAAGAACGTCTCCATCTGGAAAACTGAGTCAGGAGATCTAGCTCACAGTCATTACCAAAAAGCCATTACGAAAGCCTCATGGTAAGCTTGGTCTTAGTGCTTAGTTACCAGAAGCGATTTTACTTAGTGTGATGCCTGGAAATAGATAGTCTTTGTGTTTATTATACTGCTGTGGTTTCTGTGTAGGCCATCGATTCGTTTCTCTCCTGATGAAACTTCTGCGTGCCGTTTAGCTACAAATGAGGTCCATTTCTTTGACCCGAAAGATTTCTCTAAAGGAATAACATCCAAGATCAGAGCTCCTGGTGTTGCTGCGTTTGAGCTTTCTAAAACCCCAGCTTCCCATCTTGCTGTGTTTGTTCCAGAAGTAAAGGTGCTTTTCATTGCTTGGGCTATCGTAGTTTCAAGTTTGTGTATGTCAGTGTGTGTAATTGTTTCTTCTGTGGATAAGCTACTCTGACATGTTAATTCTGACATGTATAGGGGAGTCCAGGCAGTGTCCAGATATTTGAATGTGGGAAAGACTCACAGAGTCAGGCAATTGCTCGGCGTAGCTTTTTCCGGTGTTCCTCTGTGCAGTTTTATTGGAATCATGGCTCCACTGGACTCCTGTATGTTGTACAATCAGATGTTGACAAGACCAACAAAAGTTATTATGGGGAAACAAAGCTACACTACCTTACAATAGATGGCACGCATGAGGGCCTCGTTCCATTACGTACGTCCTAAAATTTATCGACTGATCTCTTTTAGTTTATTGAAAGTACCTACTGACTCTCTGGTGCTTAACAGGTAAAGAAGGACCAGTCCATGATGTTCAGTGGTCCGTCTCGGGTTCAGAGTTTGCAGTTGTATATGGCTGTATCCTTTTTCCATCAGCTATAACGACTTATCTGTATGGTTTTATTAAATAATCTTCTTGTGAAAATCATTATTAATGGACATGCTGATATTCTTGTGTTCTTCTTAAGAGATTATTTTCCTTCTGGCCTTTGTTTCTCCAAAACTTTGTTTTGCCTTAAGTGTGACTTCAGTTATGCCTGCTTGTGTGACAATCTTTGACAAGAAGTGCAAACCCATAATGGAACTTGGTGAAGGTCCTTACAACACACTTCGATGGAACCCAAAAGGGAGAGGTATGATTCTCTTCTCCATTCCTTTTTCTTTTTGTCTTCTCAGTTTTGTTTCTCTTTTTATATGACTTTTAATGGATGTTCCACAGTTTTATGCGTTGCTGGATTCGGTAACTTACCTGGTGATATGGTAAAAAAACAACAATCCCTTTTGTTCTTTGTATCTTTCAATTCGGTTAACAACTTCTCAGCAATTCACAGTATAATATAATGTCCACATGATATTTTCTAAATTGGTTACTCAATTCACATATCAGGCATTCTGGGACGTTGACAACAAGAAGCTGCTAGGAAGTAATAAAGCCGAGTGGTCTGTAACAAGTGAATGGTCTCCTGATGGTCGCTACTTCCTGACTGCATCAACAGCACCAAGGCGTCAAATTGACAATGGGTATGTTAAAACTTCTTGCCATATTATTGAGTTTGGTAGCTTATTCTGCTTCAGTTAGCCAATGGTGTTCATACGAATAGATCTAATGGTGAACTGAATACTGTCCATCAATTGTATGATTTCAACTTTTCATTCCCACCTATCTTTGCTCCATGACTTTTAACGTATGAACCAACTAGCCACTGTTATGGTTTCTCCTTGGTCTATGCAGTATTGTGATTTCTCACTGATATGGACTGTTTTGTGTTATATATTGAAGGATGAAAATATTCAACTACGACGGAAAGCGTTATTTCAAGAAGATGTTTGAGAGACTGTACCAGGTATGAATGTATCTTAACAGCTTTGATAAGCAGAACTACACAAGTTTTCTTACTCGAAGTGCCATGGTTATTAACTTACAGGGTGAATGGAAACCAGAGTCTGCAGACAAGTTTAGTGATATCAGTGAACTTATCAAGTCAGTTGAATCATTGAAACTCGAAGAGGGCAAATCAAAAGGTCTGAATCTCATGTTGTAACACTTGAAACCTCTTTCTGATTGTGAGAAAGTCTTTTAAATGTACATTGTTCTTAACAACTCTTATACTTGTATTAGGACAAGGATCAGCTCAGAAGAAACCTGTTGCTTCCATCCCCACTATACAAAAACCAGCTGCATATCGACCTCCACATGCTAAGCAGGCAGCTGCTGTTCAAGCCGAGGTACTCAAAAGAACTCTTCTATGATCTCACAATGCTACTAAACATCCATGTGTTTTGTGGTCTTTGACTATATGTTCTATGAGAATGTCCCTGATAGTTTTACTGATTTGTAATTGCAGTTGCTCGGAATAAATCCAGAAGGGTAAGTCTCTATCTTGCTATACATACATACATAATCTCGTAAACCGTCGCTCTTATGTTGATGGATGCTCTGTTGTGTTAATACAGAGAGATGAGCAAGAACGCTCTGAAAAACAAGAAGAAGAGAGAGAGGAAGAAAGCGGCTGCGGCCGAGGCTGCTGCTTCTGGAGCTAACGACGCATGATTGAATCAGTCACATACCAAAATACAATGCAGATTACATTTTTGAGAATTTTCCAATGGTAATAAAGATTCTATAGAAGAGGCAGATAATATTATGTAAACCGCTGTTTTTTCTTATAAACGTTTTTGATGCCAGTTCTTAACATTATATGACTATGCATGCATGCATATGCATCATTTCACTGTATCCCGCTGTCACAGCTTAAGATTCTAGAAAATTCGTACTTGTTTATCTACTTGGCACACATGCATGCAATAGTCAACACACACACGCACACACTATACATAAACACGCACACACTATATAAAGCTCAAACCTGTAGGTTCTTCCAGAAACTTACCAAGACAAGATAAGAAGGTCGGTAGAGGAAATTAAAGATATACACGAACACGAACTCTGAGAAATTTAGATTGAAGTCATGGTTAAGTAAAATGCATGCAAATTAATGCTACGTGTCCATCTCAAGACACTCAAGTCTCACATCTGTCCTTCTTTACTTCTGACTTCGCTTCTTTTAAACTCTCTCTTATCCCACTTCTATCTTTCTCTTCATACACATCCTGAACACTGTCCTTGTTAATTCGGATCAGTGTTTGATTACAATGGCAACATCAGCTCGTAGATCGTATGGTTTCGGTAGAGCCGATGAGGCTACACACCCTGACTCCATTAGGGCCACTCTAGCTGAGTTTCTCTCCACTTTCGTCTTCGTCTTTGCAGCTGAAGGCTCTATCCTCTCTCTCGGTTCGTTAAACGCACCGTTCCTGATTCTACATCTTGAGTCTTATATAACTGACTTATGAGTTGTGTGTTTTTCTTTCTTAGATAAGTTGTATTGGAACCACGAGGCTCTTACGGGGACAAACACACCAGGAGGACTGCTTTTAGTAGCTTTGGCTCATGCGTTTGCTCTGTTCGCTGCTGTTTCAGCAGCCGTCAATATCTCCGGTGGACACGTAAACCCGGCAGTCACTTTTGGTGCTCTTATTGGAGGCAGGATCTCTGCCATCCGTGCCATCTACTATTGGATCGCTCAGCTTCTTGGTGCCATCCTCGCTTCTCTCTTGTTGAGGCTCTCCACAAACGGCATGGTAACACTAACTAACATCATATATATATGTGAAACAATATGAAGACTTAAACAGAGTTTGTGTTCATGCAGAGACCAGTTGGTTTCCGTGTAGCAACAGGTGTTGGAGTGGTTAACGGACTAGTGTTAGAGATCATTTTAACGTTTGGCTTAGTCTACGTTGTCTACTCAACATTGATTGATCCAAAACGTGGAAGCCTCGGGATCATAGGACCGCTTGCAATTGGGCTCGTAGTTGGGGCCAACATCTTAGTGGGTGGACCATTCTCTGGTGCGTCAATGAATCCAGCTAGAGCCTTTGGTCCAGCATTGGTTGGATGGAGATGGGATGACCATTGGATCTATTGGGTCGGACCATTCATCGGTGGTGCTTTAGCCGCTCTTATATATGAGTACATGGTCATACCCACTGAGCCACCAACGCACCACACACACCAGCCTTTAGCTCCTGAAGATTACTAGATATGAAACACTTTCCACATGTCGCTGCTTTTGGTCTTTGTTCAAGCTCTCTCTCTTTGTATCTGTATGAAATCACTTGCATAGAATCTCTGTTCTGATGCTACTCCTTCGTTTGTAATGATAATAGAATAAAGAAAAGATTTGGCAGCAAGTTCTTTCTGATATTTCCACCAAACCATGTGAGTACGTACAAGTAATAATATCCTAATCTAATCTGAAACCTGAACAATAGAAAGAAGCTTCTTCTCTTCTTCTTCTTCTTGATCTTAAACCATGTGTCAAGGTCCTCTCATCTTTTCAACAATCTGTCTACTTCTTTCCTCCACGTGACGCTTCTTCTCTTCAAACTTCTCCCCAACTTTCTTCCTGAAATCAAACATCCTCTCTTTCGTTCCCATTTTCTTTCCCTTCGTACTCGAATCATCCTCTTCACTTGAGACAACCGACCTGGAAGATGACTGAACACTAACCGGAATAATCTCACCGGGATTGCCTTCTCGTGCTATTCCATCCTGCTTTTCGCCGTTTTCCAGCAGCGGAGTCTTGAGGTCTTCCAAAGATCTGTCACTCTCTACTACCAGAGCTGCAGAATCAGGTGGTAATGGTGCAGGGACGCTTTCTTTCTCAGCTCTTAGCTTCTGTATAACGTTGGCAGTTTTCTGAATCTGTTCAGAAGTTGGCGGCTTGTCAGGTTTGGATTTTGCTTCTGCAGCTTCGAAGCTCTCGCTATCACTGCTTGAGTCTTGATTCAGCCACATGAATGGAGCGGCTTTGCGTTGGACCCAATCATCCTTTTCAGCTATCATCCACGGAATGGTTATGCTTTCGCAGTTGGGGAGCACCATTACATCTCGTATCGCAGTCTGCAGAATGTGTTTGTGCCCTTATGTTAGTTCAAATTCCTTTGCCCTTATGTTAGTTCAAATTCCTTTAGTCACAAAAGAGAAAAAAGTGTTTTACCTTAAACCGGTTCATCAAGAACATAGCAACATGACTGTTTGTGATTTTGTGTTCACCAACAGAAGAGACAAGGTCGAATTCAATATCGGGCATGCTTGTGAAGCCAAGCCATAGTTGATCAGTTGGAGGCGGCTTCATGTGCACACGCAGTGTCCCTCGTAGCGAAGACACTCCTATTGTCAGAGTAATTGGAACCTGCAGTTTACAAACAGAGTCGGTCTAAGATACTAGACTCCATGATCCACGGTAGTGAAGCTTAAGCATTAGGAACCAAGAAGTCAAGAGACAACAATAACTTTCTTGTAGAGCATGACAGAAAAATGAAGATCAACCTGGGACACTTGCTCAGCGATGTTCTTTAGAATAGACTTCCACTTGGATAAATTGTTTGGAGCTGCTTTTACACCTTTTGATCCCTTTGATTCATCTGCATAGATGAAAAAATCTTTATAGTTTATCATCCTTGGTAAATGCTTCTAAGCAAACAAGCAAGATCACAAGAAGAATACACAAACCCATCAGCAAAATACTCAACTAACCAGTTTTCGAATCATGTGCATCAACATGTAATTGCTTTTCAAAATCTGCAAGACCTTCAAGAAGATCTGGAGGAACATCCCCGGTAGAATTTGGCTGCAGTTTTCCCTCAGCTATGCCTTTCTGCAGATCTTCCTCTCGGGCATCAACACGAGTCTCAACTTCAAGTCCCGCACCACCACTGTACTCAATATCTAGTTCGAACGCCCACACACCATTCATCTCCATTGGAAGAATCCTTGTACCATGTATGTAAGGTGGGAGGTTTCCAACGTTTACATCACAGCAGATTAAATCGCCTATGTAGCTTGGAAGTCTCATGTTGGACAACACTCGCTGTGAAACCAAATCAAGTTTAGCACAAGTGAAAGTAATGGCATACAAATCAAAGCTTTCATACTCATGGAACAGACCTGGATTCGTTCGTGCACTAGATGCTTTAGCACTGTGTTCTGTTTGAGATCGAAAAACAGCCGAGACATTATCAAGTTCCACGCCAACGTTCCTTCATCAGAGAAAAACTTGTCTTCAGAGTCAACATCCGAGACATGACTCCCATGGCTGAAAGAACGTGAGAAAGGTTGCACATCGGTATCCTCAGGGATGTTATCTTGCATCCTTCTTGCTGGATTACTTCCCCTTCCAGAGCTACCAGCAGATTGCGAATCTTGGTAAGGACGCGTTGAAGTCTTTGGCGGAGCCGAATTCACTTTAGTCGAACACTTTTTCGAAAACTTCTTCCAGAACAAACGAACTTTTGATGAAGGTCCATCATTTTTAAACCCTTTGTCCAATGTCTCAAAGCTAATCCCAGCAGATGGTTTCATAAACGAAGGATACGCAGTGTTAAGAGAAGCCATGTAGTCTCGGAAATCGTGCTTCAGCTTTGTAGGCCATATGATCCTTTCTTGATTCTCGCTAGCAGCAAGACGAAGTGCTTTACACCATGACTCCTTCTCCCAAGAAGTCTCCAGATAGATGTAAAACACTCGGTTTCCTTTATACAAGTCTGAAGTTTTGCTCTCTACTTGGATTGGAAACCTCTTAGCCCTAACAAAACATCAAACAAAAGATTCATATTCACTTGTAAGACTTAAAGACGTAAACTTTTGGCATTCTCAATGTAGATTTAGTACCATTTCCTTGTGGGGAGTGCAGAGCCTGAAACAGCTTCAACAGAGCAACCTTTCAACGTAATAGTAGCTTGAGAGCCATCTGAATCTGACAAGATCAGTTTATGGTCTTTGATACGAGCAAACCTCCTAGCTGGATGTACCTCCAAGAGGTCTTTCTTCTTCTTTTGCTCTTTTGGTAACTTCTCCTTCGTCCAATCCTTTAAACTCTCATCCAACTCCAAAATCCAAACCACTCCCTGAAAGTAACGAAAGTTAACAACTTTACATTTCAGAGATCTGTAAATAGAGGAAAAGGATCAAAATTGCAACTAAAGGAATCACATTTCTTCATCTTCTCCAGAAAATTAGTGACTTCGTTAACAAAAATCAAAACTTTGTGATACGCAATTCTCGGAGTTAGACTAGTGATCGACTACAATTGACGGATTTAGTTGAGATTCCGAATGCGATAAACTCAATGTTTCACTACGGAGACGAAAGATCGGTCACCTGTTTGCTGAGACTGAAATCAACGGACTGCTGGCGAGGATCAGAGTCCTTGAATGTTGGATCAGAGCTCGTATCCGATTGCGGCCGATTTCTCCTCCGATTCAATCGTTTAAGAAGATACAGAAACCCCGCAACTTCAACCGTTACGACGGCTAAAATCCCCAGCAAAACCCCAATTACGAACGCGAAACCGGCGAACGAAACCATCTCCGGGATCGGAGGAACCGAGTTCAATCGATTTTCGACTAGTGTAGAGGAGAAACGGAAACGGTTTCTTGCGAAGGAATTAAGAAGGAGAGAAGACGCGTGAAGTTTGTATAGTTCATGTCACTTAGAACGACAAGGAGAAGAAGGTAATGGAGAAGAAACCTATAGGAAGATATTTTAATTGGTTTCTCGCAATTTCAACCAAATATTTTGCCCGAAAAAATAATTATTTCTTGAAAGAAAATCGAAAAAAAAAAACCATTATCAAAAAAGAGTATCTGCTTTTAAAAATAAGCGAATATTTGTATAATTATGAGGAAAAAACACGAGGAAGAGAATAGAAAACAACCCATAAATGTAGTGGTTCGAAAGATAATAATAAATTTGAAATTTTTAAGAATTTTTTCTAAAAAATATAAGAACTGTTTAAGCAGGATATTCTTCTGGCTGATTTATCTTTTTGAAATGTGTAAAATATACATGAAAATCCTCACAAATTCATTTCAAAACTTTAAGCATACAAAAATATCACAAATGTATTGCCAGGTTTATTGGTTGGATTTACAATTAGCTAAAACTATTGAGTTTCTTTATAATCACCATCTTGTTCTAATATTAAATTCATTAATTAATCGGGTAAAATTGAATTTTAAAATGTGCTACACTCATAGCTTCATACAAAACTTCAAATTAAAGTACTAAACTTTCAATGATCAGCCGTTTATCTAGCGTTAGGAAACGCAACAATTTTTTCTTAAACAGAATGACTTCCTTGTTAGTTCTGTTGAACTATAAAAGTTTGACTGTTTCACTTTCAGTTTGACCTACTTCTTTGAACTTTTGACTTTGTTTTTTTCTGTATACGTTGCTCAAATCTTATGTCATTTAGAAAAAAAAAGTACCCAATAATGTTACTTAACATGGTAAAGAACAACCAAAACATCGTCATCAAGTTTCAACACTAAATTAAATAAAAATCTTGAAAAACAAACCAAAGTGACACATCAAATCTAACCAAAAAAACGTGTTAGTGTTGCTCTGTACCGACATAAAAGAAAGCGACGGATTTTTATATATTTTAGACAGGAAGTACAAAACAGAATCCTCTGTTTACATATCCATTGAGAAAAAAAAAAAAAAAAAGGAAAAAAAAACAGACACAAAGGACAAAGGAGAAGAGCAACAAACATCATTTACATGGTTTCACCCAAGAAAAAGCTTTCTCGTTTTTCTCATCACTGTAAAAACCAAAAAAAAAAAAAAAAAAGCTCTGTTTTCTTCTTAGTAACTTCCATGGCTTGCAACAGGAGGATAAAACTCCGAGATGGTGGTTGCTACCTAACACAACACAACGAGCCAGACAACAACACAAGAAAACACAGAAACAGGAGAGGGTTTTGCTTGAACACAACAATTCAGAGGGTTAAAAAGGGTTTTTTTTTTTGTTTTTTTCTTTTCAAGGTTTTGGAGAAGGATAATACGCAAGAGGAGGACTCGATTGGTTGGAGTTCATGAAGAAGTTAAAGTCATGGTGATCAGCATTAAGCTGCTTGAGCCACGAATCAGCAGCTCTCTGAAGATAAAACAAACGGTCCTGATCAAACCCTGTCTTCCCCCAGAGATCTCCTTGCATTTTGTAAGTAGCTAAACCAAATGGAAGCAATGGGATTCTCTTGCTCATAACATAAGATTCTTCAAACCACTCTGCTCCTTCTTCCTTGCCTTCCACGACAGCATTATCTGCATCAGCTTTTAACACCGTTAGTAAAAAAATCAAGAACTTGTTCTTGTTGAGTTTGTTTCTACATCATAAGAGAGTAATACCTTGGAAAGAGGAAGATAGAGTATGATAAGTTAAAAAGGCTGTTGTCAAATCATTCTCAGTCCTGCTTGGTGGTATGGTGTAGATTGGGTACCTAGTTTCATCAAAATCATCACTCAGTCACACTCTAAACTGTGAGAGCAGCAAAACATATCAACACTCAAACTACTTACCAAGAAACAGCCATCCAGCTTGCAGGAGACATGTCAACACTCCTCAAGGTCATGAGTGCTGGATACTTCTCAGCCAATTGGTTTATCTGAAGAACAAGAATCAAGAACAGAACAAAAAGAGAGTAAGGTTATCAAGAAATGAAGGGAGTGGAGAGAAGAGAAACCTTGGCTATTAAAGGAACACGCTTGAAAGGAGGGTCTCTCTCGACATACTTGAAGTCAAGGACACCGAGTCTGTCACGCAGAGACGGAGAACCATCAGAGTCAAAGACCGAATCTTCAGAGGCCTCATCCCATGTTTTTGAATCGTTACTCATTGATCTTGACAGCAACTTCTCACTCTCACTGTCGCTCCAGCAGTCACTGCTCTCAGACTCACCAGCCTCATTCTGGTTCCTGCAACACCAAAAAAGCAAATCAGCACACACAAAAACACCAAGAAACAATCAGCACATAAAGCAATCACAAGAAACTAACCTAGAAATCAGAGCAGTAGGTTTGTGAGTGTAGATTTGGATGGTAGATAGATAGGGGGCATAGTACTGCATCACGTTCTCGCCGTTGTTTAGATCGACCTGTGTACCTAAGCCATACGCACTCTGCTCATTGTAACAGTTCCAGAGATCACCAAGCCTGAAATACTCTATCTCCTCCTTTCCCTGCTCCTGCCACCAACAGTTAAATCAAATGTTAAGCTGATGAGTGATCTAAATTTGTTCAGATCATTTCAAGAAGCTCTGCAACAACATGATCTTTAGATTTTTTAGACCAGGATGGTCTTTATATTCACCAGTATTGTAAAAAAAAAACTATGGTCTTTATAATCACAGCAGCAACAAGAAGATACAGACCAAATCACTGTAATTAGCAAATAATAATATTTATATCAGAAAAGCAATTTCGTCGCACGTTTGCACGTGGTAATATATAATCCAAGAAATGATGTGACCAGTTTTTAAAAAGGGATAGATTTTCTCTCAGATTTATTTCTACCTTGATGGACCATGCAATTATTGTCCTTATTGCTAATTTCATTCTAAAATCCACACCAAATTATTAAAAAAAAAATCACAAGTTCTAGGTTGTCTGATACATTAAAAATTAGGACCTTTTGAAAAGTCTGTTTTGTTAGAGACGAGATTTGGAGGAAAATATAAAATAAAATGATTAGCGCAGACTTAAGACCGTAATTGACCCCAAAATTGAGAATTTCAAAGAGAAGAAAAATTAAAAATTTACCCGAGGAAGAGAGAATGAAGGAGGTTTAGGAGTGACGCCTAAGAGAACCCTCTCCAGATTCGAACGGCCTTTAGCTGAAGAACACCACCACCACATTCTCTCTCTGCTCTTCTTCTTCTTCGTCTGTTTCTTCCTCTCAATCTCTCTGAATTTTAGATCTTTATCCGCAAATTCTAGTCCACGAAAACGAAGCTAAAGTTTGGTAATTTAATGATTTCTGGTCTTCTCTCAATTAATACAAAAACTACATATCCCAATATGGTAGCTTTATAATTCCCAACATAGCTTTCTTTCCTTTTAATCGTTTCTGTAAATCCCAATACCCAGATTCTTCCCCAAAAAACTCTCTCTTTGAATCAATCTTCAAAAACCCACAAAAAAAAGAAAGCGAAAACTGCTTCTGGGTTTTCCCAAGAAAAAAGAAAAAAAAATCGAAACTTTCGTTTTGAGACTTGAGAATGAGAATGAGAATGAGAAACTGGGTTTTATGCTGAAATCTAGATAGAATTTTTTATAACTCTCTTGTAATTGTCAGAGGAAAAATGGGGACCCGAGAGAAGAGAAACTGAAGTAGAGATGAATAAAGCTTTCTGAGTAGGAATCTGCTCTGTATTAAAGGAAGAAGAAAACGAAGAGGACGAAACGCTTCTTTCTTTCTCTCTCTATCACTCACTCTAATCCTTTTTTATTTATTACGTAATTAATTTCCCTCTTTTGTATTTTTCTCTTATTTTATTTTTGTAAAACCTCCCGAGTCTGAAACTGAAGAAGACTTTTGTCGCTGCTGATACTTTTTTCTTCTGTTTCTAAATAATAAAATAATCAATTAAAATCACTCGTATCTAGCTGAATTAAAAAAAGGAGGATTCCGATATTTATTAGTATAACACATAATCATATATTTGTATATTTATAGACAGCAAGAAATTGTTGACATAATTACGTCATTACACAACACCCAAATCCAAGCCACATTGCGAAAAAGAAGAATTAAAAGTTAAATTGTTTTTAGTTTCGTTTGTTTATATATCGAATTATGCTCATGACCTTCTGCATCTATATGTTTCTTTTAGAAGATAGTTAACTTAAAATGGACTAAATGTAATTTTGGAGATCACGAAGACGTTAGACATAACAGCTAAAATTTATTCTCTTTTTATTTGTGTGGTGAGTGATAAAGGTTTCTATAAATTATAAAGCCATTAATAAGATTTTTATTTCCTCGTAAGTTTTATTCTTTGAGTAAAAATATCTATGTTGTTGTTTTCTTTATATAAGAGTTTCGTGAAATATCAATGTTCTTGTTAAGAAACTATAAAGACACAAATTTTAATAAATGGAAAGAGATTATAAATGTTTTTTTTTTCAAAAAAAAATGGTAATTACCGATAGAATACATAAACAGATAAGCCGACAATTGTACACAATCTATTAATAAGCTGACAATCGTGCACAACGAATTAAAATTAAAACTCAAACAAAGAAGACAAAACTCAAACGAGAAACGACAATAAATTTTTATAAATGTTTTTTTTATCCAGGAAATATGGTAACTACCGACAAAATAATAAGCCAAAAAATCAACAATCGTGCACATCGAGTTAAAAGTTAAAACTCAAACGAGACACGACAATAAAAATTTATAAATGTTTCTTTATTCAAACAATTGGTAATAGATAAGCCGACAATCATGCACACATAATTAAAGTTAAAACTCAAACGAAGAAGACAAAATTCAAACGAGAAATGCCAATAAAATTTTATAAATGTTTCTTTATTAAAAAATTGTGGTAATTACCGACAAAATAATAAGCCAAAAAGTGACAATCGTGCACAACGAATTAAAAATTAAAAGTCAAACGAGAAACGACAATAAAATGTTATAAATGTTTCTTTTTTAAAAAAAATATGGTAATTATCCGACAGAATAATAAGCCAAAAAGTGACAATCATGCACAATAAATTAAAAGTTAAAAGTCAAACGAGAAACGACAATAAATTTTTATAAATGTTTCTTTTTAAAGAAATGTGGTAATTATCTGACAGAATAATAAGCCGATTAACTTAACGACTTAATAAACCGACAACAGTACATAATAACACAAATGTTAAAATTTAAACGAAGAAGACAAAGCCCGAGAAACAATAATAAAACCTTATAAATGTTAATTAGTCTCTTCTTCTTTTTTCAAATTGTTCATTAGTTAAAGATAGAAATTATGATGAGAAATATTATAATGACATATAGGTAATATATTTATAGTAAAATGAATTATAGAGTTTCTGAAGCAATAGTACATGTAAAATCAGTAATAGGAAAATCAATTAAAAATACCAAACGAATTTGAAAGTTCCATTTCACTACATTAGCTTAACCCTCGGAGCCTCGTTCGATAAGTAACAACTTGACCACCGATCGTCTTTTAGTTCTGTAGTTTCTATTTTTCTAATGACCGGACGAATTATCATTTTTCAAACTAATCTTTATAACATGTAAAAGCTCATGTATATCATTTTGATACAAGCTCAGTTTCATTAGCTACGTATTTGTGATTCAAGTTACGACATATGGGATTCATATACACCAGATACATTCTGGTCACTGATTTCTCACATCAAATCACACTTAGAAGATTTCATGTCTGCCATATATGAAAACAACCAACATTCAACATTATCAATCATCAACACTGTGTACAATAAGACTTAACATGTGTATTTTTATATTTTATAAGACAGTAAATGTTAAATTCATCCTGATTTACTTGGTGGATACAATTATTCCGATTATGCTACAAGACCGTTATCAACACCGAAGTTATAAGCCATATGTACTCCCATATCCGAATCACTGAAAATTAAAAGCAACAAAAGGACTTGATAAAATTGTATCGTTCTAATACTTATAAGTTTTTAGAAGATACTAATGTACGTTTCAAGTGATCTCCACCATGTTCTTTTTGTAGTACATGTAAATTTACTCTTTACTTGACAATCCAATACAAGTGTAAACATAATCGCATGATGGCAATATAACACTCCATGTACAAGGATCTCTACAATAGTAACTGAGGAGCTAGTAAAGGAGGTTTGTTGTTAGAAACGTTCTCCCTAATCTAGATCTACATAGATAATAGTCACTACTCACTACTAATATCCACCACCGCACTACACCTTGGTTCGCCTATACTTTTTAGTCAGATAAATTTTTTGATTTAAGTAATTCCTCCATTTCAGTATAAATTTCATTTTGACAATTTTCACAATATTAAAAAAAAAAACAGTTCAGAAATATAATGTTACTCTTATCATTCGTCTAATTTTCTAAATTGATGTACTTCCGAGATTTAGTTAATTGACTAAATTTAGACGAATCATTTTTTTTACATTAATTATAATTTAGATTTCTGTTTTGTTTTTGTATGCAACAATTTAGATAGAGACAGTAGGAGTCGAGTACAAAAAGAAGAAGAGTGAATAAAATGTGAACATTGTAACTGAAGAACTTTGAAGAGTTGGTGTCGGAGCAGTGGGCTTCCTGCTCGACGCGTGTTTGCCAAAACTGCGTCAGTCTCTCGCGTTTTGCGTGTTCTGTTTCCAGTTTTGTTTTTTCTTTATTTTGTCTTGTCTATTTTATTCAAATTGTTTTTTTTCCTAATTGGATTTGTCCATATTAAAATATTTTAATTGTGGTTAGCAAGTACTAGACTCGTGTTTGTGCAGATTTCTGATGCTGAGGTAATTAAGTAGCATCTAATAAAATAATCAAATGACCAAGTTGGACGTTACAAAAGAAGGGGACTAAGGATTCTAAAAAACTTTTCCTTTGTTCATAATGTTTATCTTTGGCATATAAATTTTATTATTTTGGCATTGTTTTTAATGTTGTATATTGTTTAAGTTTTGTTTTCTTCGTTTGAGTTTTAATTTTAATTTTGTTATGAGGTATGATCAATTGTTGGCTAATACATTTCTTGTTTAAGTTTTGTCTTTTTTTTTTCGTTTGAGTTTTAACATTGATGTCGTTATGTACGATTGTCGATTATGTGTTTGTAATAAATATTAAGAGTAGCCAATGACAAAAAACCTAGAAAGCTGTTAAGATTTTTTTTATGTTAACTAGCATAACTTTTTAATATCGTCTCTCGTTTGACATTTGTCTTTTTCGTTTTAATTTTAACTTTGATGTCGTATATGTTATATACGATTGTCGGCTTATACATTTATTGTGATATTAATATTATCAAATGACAAAAAAACCTAAAAAGTTGTTAAGACATATTTTTTCGTATGTAAGGAAACAAATAAATTAACATTGTTTTTTCATCTGAGTTTTGTCTTTTTTCGTTTGAATTTTAATTTTGATGTCGTTATGTATGATTGTCGGCTTGGATTTATCGTGAATATTAATATTATCAAACGACAAAACACCTAAAAAGTATTAACATAGTTTTTTTCTCATGTAAAGAAGCATAACTTTTTAATATTGTCTCTCATTTGAGACTTGTCTTCTTCATTTGAGTTTTTATATTGTTGTTATGTATAATTGTTGGTTTATGCATTTATCGTGAATATTAATATTACCAAATGACAAAAACCTAAAAAGTTCTTGAGATTTTTTTTTCTTGTGTAAGGAAACACAAGTTCTTAATACTGTAAACTTAACTTTAATGTCGTTATGTAAAATTGTCGGCTTATAATTTATCGTGAGTATTAATATTACCAAACGACAAAAAAAAATTAAAAAGTTGCTAACATAGTATTTTCTCATGTAAAGAAGCATAATTTTTTTAATATTGTTTCTCGTTTGAGATTTGTCTTCTTCATTTGAGTTTTAATATTAATGTCGTTATACACGATTGTCAACATATGTATTTATCGTGAATATTAATATACCAAATAACAAAAAATCTAAAAAATATTAACATATTCATTTTTCGTATGTAAGGAAATATAAACTTTTAATATTGTCTCTTGTCTAAGTTTTGCTTTCTTGGTTTGACACAAAAAGAAAATCCCGAAAAAATTGTTAACATATTCTCTTTTTCTTTTATGTAAAGAAACATAAGTTTTTTATATTGTCTTTCTCGTCTGAG